CACCTCTTCCTGACTTTTATTGCTGCAACTCTGAGAAAATTCATTTTTGCTAAGACAAAGAGCTGCACATTCTACAGAAAGTGGAACAATGAGTGCTCAGTTAATATAACTGGGATGCATGCTTTGTGGTTTTGAAACTACTCAAAAATGAGGCAGGAAACTGTTATGCAGTTAAGGAAGTTGTTTTTTATTTAAAATACTTGATGTGATTTGAAGTACTTCATTGTGGTGACTCAAGTTGTATTTGTGATGCAGGAAGTTCTGAAGGTTTCCACAAACAGGCAGTGCCAGTAAGAGACAGGCTATCAAAAGGAGAATCTCAGCAGGTCTCCTGGACTGGCTGGACTCAGAGGAATGGTGGAAGGAACCAGCTGGGGAACCCCCAAGGGGCGAAGGCTCAGAGCCAGGGGTTTGGTGGTGGGGCGACGATGAGTGGTCAGAGGGAGAAGAGGGAGCAGACTGGGAGGAGGCGGTGTCAGAAGCAGAAGAGGTAACAGGGTTTAGTGAGCAGGGAGAGTCTGTGGCAGAGAGAAGACCAGAACCAGAACCAGAATCTGAAGCAGGAGAGGAGGGAGGCCAAGAAGCTGAGATGAGTCAAACTGGTGAAGAAGCCAGGGTGTCTCCCCATCCTGCTGTGACAAGCTCCCCTACCCCTGGTCTCCCAGAGGTATGAAGAGGGAGGAGCAAAAGCAGGTGTGGCCGCAGAGTCTCAGATTGCTTGGAAAGTGTGGGATGTGAAACACATAGCAGTCAAGTACATCATTCCTAGAATGGACATGCAAGGAGATGCTTTGTACCAGCCAGGAGAAAACTTCCTGTTTCCTCCTGAGCTGGGAGAAACTTCCTCTGCATGTGACTAGAGGGGTGTGTGGCCTAATCTGGGGAAGAGGAGCACACCATCTTCTTTTGCTCCTCTCTTCTCCATTATGTGTGAGCAGAAGTGACTGCCTGTCTGCAGTCACTTGGGACTAACTCCCTTATGGGATAGTTCCACATGTATATATACTTTTGTAACCTAAGTCTGCCTTCAGGGATCTAACTGTGAACTGAATGAATGTGAGTAAACTACTTCTGTCTTCACTTTAGTAAGATTGTCGTGTATATTCTTTTTAGGAGAAGAAGGGATCTTACCAGGAATCTTATATAGATAGCTTCAGAAGAACAAGCAAACCGCTGTGCGTTTAAAGGGGAATGTTTAAACTCTGCTAAGATGTAGAACTTGATAATGCAAGTTAGGAAGGATATCATTAAACAATATATCCCCTCCTGCCTCCCATAACATTCCCACAGAAAGGACCTGGAAGAGGAGGCAACTGTCAGGTGTGCGTGCAGGAGCCAGGCCCTGTGACTAATAGGACTTTGGAGGACTAAGTTTGTTCTGAAGAGGCAAGGCGCGGCCTCACAGGTGAGGTCGATTGGTAACTCACAGCACCTGGTGGCAAGAGCTGGGAAGGGATATAAGGTCAGCATTTCCCTTCGGCTCTTTGCCACAACACCACGCTTCCTGCCTTGCTGCGTTTGGCTTCTTGCTTCCTGATCCTTGAACCTTGGCTTCTTGACTCTGGGCTTCTTGATCCTCGGACCCTTGACTTCTTGTCTCCTTGCTTCCTGATCTTTGGACCCCTGACTTCGTGACTTCTGGCTTCCTGACCCTCGGCTTCCTGACTCCTGGCTTCTGGACCCCCGTTCCTGCTCTTACCCCACCATATTGCCCCCGGTCCTGATGGCCCCTGCCGGGACTTTGATCGCCTGTGAACCAGACCGTGACAGCAACTTAGGCAGCTGTGGGAAGTAGGGACCTCCTTCAGCCTCCACAATTGCCTCATAGGGGCAAGATCTACCAAGAAGAGTTGCTGCACTCGTTAGACCTGGCACTCCAGAGCAGACCTTGTTTCTTCTAATAAAGAGTCAACTTCACTTACTCCATGTGATTTATTGCTGACCTGCCCTCGACACCCATTCCTGACAGCACTTGACCAAGGAGAATGACTAATTTACTAAAGTTATTTAAAGGATTCCTGGCAGTCATTTGGACTTCAAATGTTTCTGAAGCCGTGAACACATTTTTCTTCTTAAAAATATATATATTTATAAATGCAAACATAATTTGAGATTTGTTATTATGAATCCCAAAACAGTATGAAATAGCAATTGGACAGGAGATGAGTCAGCAAATTTCAAGGCAGATGAGTAAAATAGCAGGAGAAAAAAATATTAAGTTTGCAGCCAAGAAGGAAAACCAGATGTGCTCTTTTTAAAAATAATCAAAATCAGGACATTAAATAAGGTTTTTGCTTTTGTGCATAAAATGTAGCAGTGAGAGAGGTGGGCTTCTCTTGGGGCAGAGCACCCTCTGCCAAGCAGGAAACACCATCAGAGCACTCCTGACATATGGTTGTCAAGCCTCTGCTTAAAGACCTCCAAAGAAGGAGACTCCACCACACTCCTTGGCAGCAAATTCCACTGTCGAACAGCTCTTACTGTCAGGAAGTTCTTCCTAATGTTTAGGTGGAATCTTCTTTCTTGTAGTTTGGATCCATTGCTCCATGTCCGCTTCTCTGGAGCAGCAGAAAACAACCTTTCTCCCTCCTCTATGTGACATCCTTTTATATATTTGAACATGGCTATCATATCACCCCTAACCTCCTCTTCTCCAGGCTAAACATGCCCAGCTCCCTTAGCCGTTCCTCATAAGGCATTGTTTCCAGGCCTTTGACCATTTTGGTTGCCCTCCTCTGGACACGTTCCAGTTTGTCAGTGTCCTTCTTGAACTGTGGTGCCCAGAACTGGACACAGTACTCCAGGTGAGGTCTGACCAGAGCAGAATACAGTGGCACTATTACTTCCCTTGATCTAGATGCTATACTCCTATTGATGCAGCCCAGAATTGCATTGGCTTTTTTAGCTGCCGCGTCACACTGTTGGCTCATGTCAAGTTTGTGGTCAACCAATCTGTTTCGTTCAATGCTTCATCAGCCGATCTTGATCAATTCTTCATCAGCCAGACTTGTAAGAATTAATATGAGAAGGATGCAGTTCAATTTCTTAACAAGGAAATCTTAAATGTAAGTAAATATAAACACTGTAGAAAATATGCTCTGGTCAGTGCTCATATGATATTGTAGTTTAGTGCCATTGCTACTGGCCATCGTGTTTGTTCAGCTGGCTCAATATAAGGCAGCTTCTTATGTTCCTAGGCAGCCCATAATAAGAACATAAGGAGAAACCTGCAGCATCAGCCCAAAAGGTTTCCATTTAGTCCAACATCCTGTTCTCACAGTGGCCCCCAATAGACCTAAAAGAAGCCTGCAAGTGGAATCAAAGCACAAGAGCATCCTTCTCTCTCAAGGTCTCCAGCAACCGGGGTTCAGAAGCCTTCTGCCTCCTTCAGACCCAGGCAGTGTTCTCAATGGTCAGGGATAATGAGGGTTCATAGAATCATAGAATTGTAGAGTTGGAATGGGGCCCCAAGGGTCATTGAGTTTAACCATCAACATCTGGAGGGCACCACTGTGAGGTGTGCGTGCAGGAGCCAGGCCCTGTGACCAATAGGACTTTGCAGGTCTGGGGCCTTCCTAAGTTTGTTCTGAAGAGGCAAGGCGTGGCCACACAGGTGAGGCCAATTGGTAACTCACAGCACCTGGTGGCAAGAGCTGGGAAGGGATATAAGGTCAGCATTTCCCTTCAGCTCTTTGCCACAGCAACACGTTCCCTGTCTTGCTGCGTTTGGCTCCTTGACTCCTTGCTTCTTGATCCTCGGACCCTTGATTTCATGACCACTTGCTCTCTTACCCTCGGCTTCCTGACTCCTGGCTACTGGACTCCTGTTCCTGCTCCCACCCCACCATCTTGCACCCGGTCCTGACATCCCCAGCCGGGACTTCGATCGCTCGTGAATTGGACCGTGACAACCACATTGGCTACCCATGACTTTGCATGTCTTGATTCCTCTCCTGGGCAGCAGTTTGAGCTCTGACCTGGATCAGGACTAGGAGTGAAGATTATGGAAGGCTAGCACTGGCTCTAACCAGATCCTGTCCACCAAGACAGTTTTGAAAAGGCATCCCTAGAGCCCACAACTCATCTCGGGGTGAACGCTCCTCGACACTGGATCTTTTGTCCAGGCAATGAATCAGACTGAATTGAAGAGATGAGGAGCTGGGTTTTGAGCCAGATGACCAGTCCTTTAACCATCTCTGGAGAGAGGGTGCGACCTAGGAAGGAAAGTCTGGACTGAGAATAAGAGACCTCATTTGGTCTCCAGAACTTGCTTCACTCGGAGCTCTCCGGGGTCCTGAAACATTTGTAAATGCTTTAAGCTGCATCACTCTTGTACAAGTCACCCATCGAGGTGACCAAGGCTATTTTGTTTCTAGATCAGAAACCACAATGAAATAAGAATGTCTGGAACTGAGCTTCCCCACCATTACCACCCCATGGTGGGCCCTAGAGGGGGACCTGACTTGCATTCAGTCAGATGTAGTCCACATCTGCCTTTGTTTCCCTATTGCGGTGCCATAAACCCCAGCTCCCTGGTGTATGAATGGTCTGGCAGAGCTGGAATCAGTGGGAGGATGTTCGAAGTGATAGAGTCCAGTGTCTGGGTCAAACTCAGTGCTCCACAGGGTTTCAGCAGGAGCACCAGTCGTGTGGAATGGAAACCCCCTCAGAGCCATTCAGAATCCATCTACTCACAAAGGGCATAAACTGATCCACCCATGACAAATGAATTCTCAAGAATTTCCCCATCATCTCTCTGCCTGGTCGAGAACGTCAGGTCTAGGGCATGACCCCGAGTCTACATTTGAGCTGCTGACATTGGATTTAGAAAGCATCATGGCTCTCACAGCAATCATGGACTCCTGAGGGAACTTGAGGTTGTGGTTGATGACTCCCTGAAGATGTTGACCCAGTGTGTGGCTCCTGGGGGCAGGGAGGCTGCCAATGGTGAAAATTAAAGGGTCAGTGTGTCACAATGCCTTTGTGCACATCTCTCACACAACCACACTTCTGGTCACATCACCTTGAACAGGATACCACAGAGCTGGGAAAGATTCAGAAAAGGGCAACCAAACGGATCAAGGCAGTCAGAACAACTCCCTTATGAGGCAAGTTACAAGGTTTGGAGTTTTGGGGAGCTGAAAGTAAGGAGGGCCAAAGTGCTTTGAATGAATAGAAATCAAATGAATGAATGAATGATATCCCACCGCTTTCCCTAAATGAATGAATGAATGATATCCCAGCTTTTCCCCTGAATGAATGAATGATATCCCATCGTTTTCCCTGAATGAATGATATCCCACCATTTTCTCTGAATGAATGAATGAGTGAATGAATGAATGAATGAATGAATGATATCCCACCGTTTTCCCTGACAGGAACTCAAGGCAGCCTACAGCTAAAATTTTATTTCCATTTACTGTAGCTGTTGAAGGTGTTGTACATGATCCCTTCCCTCGCATGTTTTTCTCCTCACAACAATCTTGTAATTGTCTCAAGATGGTCATGCGAGGTTTATGGGGAAACTGGCATTTGAACCTGATAGATTTCAATGCTTTGCTGTGTTCATTGGGCAGGCGGAATGGGGGCAACGCAGAGCTCAAACAATGATCCTTAGCACTGAAACAGGAATGTTGGAAGTGTGTGACCTCTTGAGAGTTCCAGAGGGCACAAAGCACCACAACTTGAATTTTCTGAGCTTCACTGTGTGGGGACTACAGAGAGGTGTGTATTGGAATTGCATTTAGAAGTCTGGTTCTGTACTCCCCCACACCATCACCTCAATCTCACTAAACAGGTGGGGAGGCCGTGGTACACCTCAGGTACCAAAATGTCTTAGGCCGGCACAGAAATATATACTCCATCCATCCTTTCCCTGCCCCCTCCAATGGCTAGCACAACACAGAGCTCCCCAGGGTACCTTCCAGGGAACAATGAGCTGCCTATGCTATGACTGAGCTTTTAGTCACGCCAGCCGGACCCCACAGAAGCTCCTCAGAAACCACTCATGATGTATCATCGACTCAGGCAACAGGGGCAGGAAAATAATAATAATAATAATAATAATAATAATAATAATAATAATTTTATTTTTACCCCATCCATCTGGCTAGGTTTCCCCAGCCACTGTGGGTGGCTTCCAACAAAATATTAAAAATACAATAAAGCAGTGAACAGGGCTGCCTTCAGATGTCTTCTAAAAGTCAGATAGTTGTTTATTTCCCTGACATCTGGAGGGAGGGCGTTCCACAGGGCGGGTGCCACTACCAAAAAGGCCCTCTGCATGGTTCCCTGTAACTTGGCTTCTCACAGGGAGGGAACCGCCAGAAGGCCCTCAGACCTGGACCTCTGTGTCCAGGCAGAACGATGGCGATGGAGATGCTCCTTCAGATATATTGGGTTGAGGCTGTTTAGGAAAGATCAGAGAGAGGACATTTCCCCATCCTCAGGCCCCATCTCTTCATCTTAGTCTAATTATTTGCTCTAGGAAGCAGGCAATCATCATTTGGACCCTGTTCTCTTCGAGTTTGCTCTGAATCACACAATGACTTATTTGCAAGATCTGAAGAGCTTGCCTTATCCTACTTTGAGTTTGCAGTATAGATCCCATGGAAGTAAACAGGCTGGTTTCTATGGTGGTATACGAGGAAGAAGATTCATCTCTGTGTTTGTTTATTACTGGTCAAATTCTTTTATTCCCACAAGGTCTCTCTTTCTCGCTAGCAACAAAGAAAATCCCGGCAAGAGTTATTAAGCAGATAGCAGTCAACGACTTATTTAACCATAGTATCTTTGAATACTTAAAAAGTAGAGACATCACCTTGCCAACAAAGGTCCGTATAGTAAAAGCTTTTCCCAGTAGTGATGTATGGAAGTGAGAGCTGGATCATAAAGAAGGCTGATCGATGAAGAATTGATGCTTTTGAATTATGGTGCTGGAGGAGACTCTTGAGAGTCCCATGGACTGCAAGAAGATCCAACCTACCCATTCTGAAGGAAATCAGCCCTGAGTGCTCACTGGAAGGACAGATCCTGATGCTGAGGCTCCAAGACTTTGGCCACCTCATGAGAAGAGAAGACTCCCTGGAAAAGACCCTGATGTTGGGAAAGATGGAGGGCACAAGGAGAAGGGGACGACAGAGGACGAGATGGTTGGATAGTGTTCGTGAAGCTACCAGCATGAGTTTGACCAAACTGCGGGAGGCAGTGGAAGACAGAAGTGCCTGGCGTGCTCTGGTCCAGGGGGTCATGAAGAGTCGGACATGGCTAAACGACTAAACAACAACAACATCTATGAATAATTGATGTTTTTTATCTGTATTAAATCTTACCTTTTCAATATGTAAGTTCTATATATGTGGCTGGGGAAATCCAGCCAGATGGGCAGGGTATAATTAATAAAATTACCACCATCATGTGATTTACGTAGTATTTTAAAGACTAGGCAGCAGTGTGATTTTATGGAGTATTTTGAACTGTTGGGTTCTGTACCATACTTATCTTATATGTGAATGACCTATGGCCCAAACATTTATAAACTACATGAAACATGAAATTTGCTTCTTCTTCTTATTTAAACAGATTGTTGATGAGACATCGAAACCTCTCTGGGGTCACTTTGTAATGGGACACAGTGTACAAAACTTTCAGAGAAATAAATCATGTACTCCAGAATAGTTTGTGGCTTACTCTTCCTAACATCCTTTCTGTAGCAACAAAAAAGGAAGCTGTCCAAAAAACTTGCTTTTATATGGGGTCCGCCTTAGACCAACGTTCCCCTGCCTGGCGCCCTCCACCTCTTTGAACTACAACTCCCACCAGTCTCATCCATCAATGGCTCAGCTGACTGAAGCTGGCGTAGTAAAACACAGCTATATAAAAGCAAGCTTTATGTACAGTTTCATTTTCTGTAACTGTAAGCGGAGCGGAGCTTGCTAGACAGATACTTATCATAATGGGCGCATCAGAAATCACCTGGTGAGCAACGGCACCAGATGATATTACGCATATTTTACACAGAAGTGAGCCCTACCAAGCCCCAGGTGAATTTACTCCTACGTGTTTTGAGATAAGATACGAGGTTAGCTAAAGACATCTGGCACTGAAACAATTCATTTCCAGGAATGTGCAAGCCACAAGCTTGCAACACGCACGTTCGCAAATGGAACTGGCAGCAAAATGTTCCCGCATACCAGTGCTTTTTTCCTGGGGGGACGCATACCCCTAAACATTTTGTGAATCTAAGTTTGGCCTCCTTGAGGGGCAGTATTTCAATAGGAGTAGGAAAATGAGAGTAGCCCTAAACATTTTTTAAAGAAAAATAAAGTACTGCCCCATGCCCTAGAAGACTCAGACAGCAAGGTACGGCAGCCTCAGGGAGTTGTTTTCAACTGATACACTAATGTTCATTGTTCTGTGCTTCAGACCGAAATACTTTATTGTCACTTGTACAACTTGTATAGAGTGAGATTACACGAGCACCCCCCATTCAGCTCTCTTAGTCTTAATTCCCCTTATTTACTGACGCACACCCACTAAACCCAAAAGTCAGTTGCCCTGTTGTTATCTTTTCATTCAGCAGCCTAACAGCCCATGGATAGAAGCTGTTCTTTACCCTGTTGGTGCGACTAATCATGCTTCTATATCTTCTGCCTGAGGGCAGGAGATCAAGAAAGTGCACACCCTGTGAATCATCCCTGAGAATTTTCCTCACTCTCCTGAGGCAACGTTCTTCCGCTATTTCATCCAGCGGATTCATGGGACAGCCCATAATATCTTGTGCTGTATTCACCACCCTCTGTAGGCACTTCCTATCAGTTGATGTCAAACCAGTGTACCACACCGTGATGCAGTATGAAAGGACACTTTCTATTGTGGACCGGTAGAAGGAGATCATCAGATGTTGATTGACATCATTCTTCCGCAATACTCTGAGGAGATGGAGTCTATGTTGGGCTTTCTTAACCACCTGGGTTGTATTGATTTTCCAAGTAAGGTCTTCACTCAGATAAACTCCTAGGAATTTAAAGGAAGAGACTCTCTCCACACAGCCCTCCCTGATGTACAGCGGGGCTAGTTCTCCTCGCTTCCTCCGAAAGTCCAACACCATCTCCTTTGTCTTGCTGATATTAACGTGCAAGTTGTTCCCTAGGCACCATGTAGATATTTTTTGGACCTCCCCTCTATACGCTGATTCATCTCCACCTGTTATTAAACCCATTATGGTGGTGTCATCTGCAAACTCTAATGTTCAATGTTCTGTGCTGCAGGTGCTGTTAGTCATAGATTTTAGCTGATAAAACTTGCACAATCTGGATGAAGCCTAGTTTCCCCACCACCACCTCTTTCGGTTTCACTGCCATCAGCATTCTGTAGGGACACAGGGGGTTATCAGTCCATTGTTATGGTTGATTTTATATTTGTTTAAAGACTTCATTGAGTAACTAAAACATTTTATAGCATGGTAGAACAAAGAAACAAGGGGCAACTTACTTGCCATTACTGCTCCATAATGCGTGGTTAGATGTGACTTTGGAACGTAAGAAGGTTCAATCCAAGAATAGCCATAAGAATGGGAAGTTGTGGTGAATTTATTTTTTAAAGGAACAGCTACACACTTCTGCAAACCCTGAGAGTCTCCCGCCCAAACAGAAACAACTTCCTTGCTTTTGTATAGCTGTTTCACTGTTAGAAAGCTTTCCCCTCCTAGTTAAATAAGTCCGCCTGGATAATATATTAAACAGGAGAGTGGAAGTTCCTGAGATGACTCAGTTAATTAGAAGGAAGGAATGTAATGGTTCATTTTGTGCCTTCAGGAAATATAAACCTAGTAAAATCCTATGCCCTTTTAAAGTGTGTGCGGGGTTTTTGGGGGGGTGTTATTGGGTAGTTGTTTTCATTTTGATTATGTATTTTGTGGTTTTATATTTTGATTTTATTCTGTGAACAGCCCTGAGACCTCTGGGTATAGGGTGGTATATTAATCAATCAATCAATCAATCAATTAATTAATTAATTAATTAATAGTAAAATAAAAGGTGCCCTTTCTTGCAACCTGCTTTGCATTTCAAGGAATTACTGGTTTGATTCATCAGATCACTATTAATTATCAACTGAGCCATGAGGACATCCATCCATGGCTTCGGATGGTTGGTCTATTTGGCTTCCAGGGGAGGAAATGGATTGAGAATACCAAATCTCCTGTATGCAAACCATGTGTTCCATGTAGCAATGAGCTAAATCTACCCAAGTAAGAATTCACTAATAGACCAAACACTTTCTCTTTCTTTCTTTCTTTCTTTCTTTCTTTCTTTCTTTCTTTCTTTTTCTTTCTTTCTATTATTAAGGATGTCCAGATTTTCATTGGAGAAATGTTGTAGTGTATGAAATTTTTAGTGGCTTTAAAAGGAGATTTTGTACACTCATAACAGGAGCTATTAGGTAAATAGCTATCTTGAGGGGCAGTGCCGCTTCGAGGAATTCATGGTGAGCAATTCATCGGCACATGACTGGTCTAGGTGAAATCAGATCCGTGGTGTGAGCCAGGAGGGGATTTTCTTAAGTTCTTAAGATACATATTGCTCTGATCCACACCTACAAAGACCTATTTGCGGACTAGAAAATGAAACGAAAAGCGTCATAACAGTGTAAACAAGCCCTGCCCGGTTTCCCTGAATTCAGGACCGACAGTGTGGGATGGGAAGTACGCACACGTTCCACCTGTTTATCAGGACTTGGACAGGCCACCTGAAGAAAGTGAAAGTCTCCCATCTCCTGCTGGGTGTTTGTAGATCTGATTCGAGGCTCAGGGCTGCTTATGATCAGCGAGGCAGGCAGGCAAAGGAGATGATCTGCTGTCTCCCCAAATTAATGATGCAAGCAGGGGATTAGAAGCACACTGGGATGCTTTCCAGGCATGGTTGGGGGCTCATTCATCTCCCTCCCACACCTCCCACCCACTTATTCCGCTTGCTCACAGATCAGCAGGTGATTCATTTGCCCCCCCCCTTCCAGCAACGCACCCTTCCTTCACCCCAGGCTCCTGCGGTGTGTGCTTCATGCCAACGTCTGCTTACCTTCTCCAGCAACTCCACCCTTTTCCTGTAGGCTCAAAAGATCTCTGGCTGGCGGCGATCCAGCTCTCTCCTTCCCAGTTTCTTGCTTCTCACAGCCAGAGCTGATTCCAGGTCACTCACATTTTACAGGAGGGCCTTGGGTTCCAGGGGTCCATGCAGATGTGGATAAGGACAGGAACAGCTCCCCGCCTCCATCCCAAACCTGCAATGTGGAGGGCTGCTTGCCTGGCTTTGGCAAAGAGGCAGAAGGGTCTGTAATGCCGGCAGAGCCCTCGTGCCACCTTCCAAAAGTCGGGGAAGCCCACCATCGCAGCTTTGTGCAGGTGAAGGGATGGAAATAAATAAATGCAGAGTGGCTTTCCACTGCTCTCCATTTACCGTATTTTTCGATCTATAAGATGCACCAGACCACAAGACGTACCTAGTTTTTGGAGGAGGAAAACAAGAAAAAAAATATTCTGAATCTCAGAAGCCAGAACAGCAAGAGGGATCGCTGCGCAGTGAAAGCAACAGTCCTTCTTGCTGTTCTGGCTTCTGGGATAGCTGTGCAGCCTGCATTCGCTCCATGAGACGCACACTTATTTCCCCTTACTTTTTAGGAGGGAAAAAGTGAGTCTTATAGAGCAAAAAATACGGTATATATTTATTCTACCAACCCATGCCATGCAAAGCTGCGACCATGAAAGTTAAATACAGTTGTACCTCTAGTTACGGACTCAATCCGTTCCAGGGTGCCGTTTGCACCCCGAAAAGTCCACAACTAGAGCACCACTTCTGCGCATGCATGAAACGTGCAGAGTGCTTCTGCGCATGTGCAGAAACCCATAAGTATACACTTCTGGGTTTGCCGCGTTTGTATCCTGAAAGAACGCAACCGGAGACTGACGTAACAAGGTATGACTGTAATCGCAAGATGCCTTTGGTTTCAAGACAGGCAAAAAGAACGGTTTTAGTTATGAGATCTCAAGATTTCAGAAAGATTTGTTAGAAAACTATGAAATTACTGTCAAAAATGTATAAATTGCTCTTGGAATAGTATACTAAAGATGAACAGGTTAAATCGGTAATGATACACTGGGCAAGGGATTTGGGGCATAACATTCAACTTTCACATTGGGAAAGGTTATGGAAAACAGACTTGAAATTCTTGGCATGTTGTACGGTGAAATAAAACTACCTACTATTTTTTGCTCTATAGGACGCACCCAACCATAGGACGCACCTTTTTTTAGAGGGGGAGAACAAGAAAAAAAATTCTCTCCCTCTCTGCGCTGCACCTCTCCAGCGAAGCAAAGCCAGGAGAGCAAGAGGGATCGGTGCGCACCAATCCCTCTTGCTCTCCTGGCTTCAATGAAACCAACGCGAAGCCTCCGGAGTGCAGCAGGAGTTCCCGCTGCGCTCCGGAGGCTTTGGGTGGCTATCCCTGAAGCCTGGAGAGCGAGATGGGTCGGTGCGCTTTGGAGGCTTTGCATTGCTATCGCTGAAGCCATGGAGCCTGCATTCACTCCATAAGACGCACACACATTTCCCCTTAATTTTTGGAGGGGGAAAGTGTGTCTTATAGAGCGAAAAATACAGTATATGAAAATGATGTTCCGGTGGTATCTGACTCCTAGTAAGTTAGCAAAGATGTATAAAGCAAGTACAAATGTCTGCTGGAAATGTAAAGAAAGAGAAGATACCTTCTATCATATGTGCTGGTGGTGTAAGGTAATAAAAGCCTTCTGGGAAATGATATATAATGAATTGAAAAAAATGTTTAAAATAAGTTTTGTAAAAAAAACCCAGAAGCTTTTTTATTAGGAATTTTATTAGGAGTACAAAATACTTTTCAAGTCCGCGACAACACGGATGCAACTAGCCCAAAGATGGAAAGAAGAAAGAGTCCCTATCAGAGAATGGCAAATCAAGCTGTTGGACTACGCCAAAATGGCAAAACTGACCGGAAAGCTCAGGAACCAAGAAGACAAAAACTTTAAGAAAGAATGGGGAAAAATGATAATTTATTTAGGAGACCACTGTAAGCAGATGAAAACATTAGCAGGATTTTAATGTCGCTTGTAATGTAACAAACACTTTGGGCAATATGTACAGATACAAAACATAGATTAGGAAATAAGATCCAATTGAAAATATTGTCAGTAAGACCCATGGAAGTGATGGTGGGAAGTCTTGAGAGTCAGAGAAATCTCTATATAGGGATGTGCATTTGGTATTGTTATAATTTTACATTTGTAAAACCAAATAAAAACGATTTCAAAAAAGAAAGAAAAGCACAAGATGCGAGTGAGCTGGATCAAAAGCAGGCTTGAGATCCAATTCATTTCCGTTCCTTAAAGTTTGACGGCCTCAGGGCAGTTGCTGTCTCCCAGCCCATCCTGTGATGAGCGTGGATGTATGACTAACACAACTGATTAAACCATTATCTTTTTAAACCCCAGAATGGGGTTTAACAAGTTTCTACTTCCTCCTGCATTTTGATCATTTCTGTGTACAAGGTCGATTGTGCTCAGCCGTGAATCAGCTTATACACATTTCCTTTGTGACACTGTTTCATGCAGTCCAGAACTGAATCCTGGAAGAACTTAAAACCTCTGCCCCACTTTGAGTGACAAATACTCACATAGTTATGGAGGATGCGGACCATTTGGATCCCTTCCAATCAGGATTCAGGCCTCATCATGGGACTGAAACTGCCTTGGTGACACTGGTCGATGATCTCCGGCGGGCTAGGGACAAAGGTGAGAGCTGTTTCCTAGTTCTGCTGGATCTCTCAGCGGCCTTTGAGACAATCGACCATAACATCCTTCTGGACCGTCTAGAGGGGCTGGGGGCACTGTTATACAGTGGTTCTGCTCCTTTCTCCTTGGCCGTGTTCAGAAAGTGGGGGGCGGGGAATGAGTGTTCAGACCCCTGGGCCCTCACTTGTGGGGTGACTCAGGGTTCCATCCTTTCCCCTATGCTTTTTAACATCTACATGAAGCCGCTGGGAGAGATCATCAGGGGATTTGGACTGGGTGTCCATCAGTATGCAGATGATACCCAGCTCTACCTCTCTTTCAAATCAGAACCAGTGAAGGCGGTGAAGGTCCTGTGTGAGTGTCTGGAGGTGGTTGGAGGATGGATGGCGGCTATTGGATTGAGGTTGAATCCTGACAAGACAGAAGTACTGTTCTTGGGGGACGGGGGGCGGGCTGGTGTGGAGGACTCCCTGGTCCTGAATGGGGTAACTATGCCCCTGAAGGACCAGCTGCGCAGCCTGGGAGTAATTTTGAACTCACAGCTGTCCATGGAGGCGCAGGTCAATTCTGTATCCAGGGCAGCTGTCTACCAGCTCCATCTGATACGCAGGCTGAGGCCCTCCCTGCCCACAGACTGTCTCGCCAGAGTGGTGCATGCTCTAGTTATCTCCCGCTTGGGACTACTGCAATGCGCTCTACGTGGGGCTACCTTTGAAGGTGACCTGAAAACGACAACTAAACCAGAATGTGGCAGATAGACTGGTGACTGGGGGCAGATGCCGACACCACATAACACCAGTCTTGAAAGACCTACATTGGCTCCCAGTACGTTTCCAATCACAATTCAAAGTGTTGGTGTTGACCTTTAAAGCCCTAAACGGCCTTGGCCCAGTATACCTGAAGGAGCATCTCTACCACCACCGTTCTGCCTGGACGCTGAGGTCCAGCGCCAAGGGCCTTCTGACAGTTCCCTCGCTGCGAGAAGCCAAGTTACAGGGAACCAGGCAGAGGGCCTTCTTGGCAGTGGCGCCCGCCCTGTGGAAAGCCCTCCTATCAGATGTCAAAGAGATAAACAACTACCTGACATTTAGAAGACATCTGAAGGCAGCCCTGTTCAGGGAAGTTTTTAATGTGTGACATTTTAATGTATTTTCATCGTTGCTGGAAGCCGCCCAGAGGGGCTGGGGAAACCCAGCCAGATGGGCAGGGTACAAATAATAAATTATATTATTATTATTATTATTGAATTTATATACCGCCCTGTACCCGGAGGTCTTGGGGTGGTTCCGTTCTCCTTTTTGACACTTCTTACAACCCTCCATGGCAAGATCGCTCAATTTATTCCTACTCTGCTTCCTGTTCTTGTGCCAATTGTCAATTTCATTAAAAGGCCACATTTTCCATGACTGCAAGATTTATTTGGGAGTTAAAGAGCAACTCTGTCAAAGCCATTTTTGGAAGTCCAAATACTGTGCTTCAGGCATTGTGCATAAAACTGTTGCGACGCCTGTTAACGTTGCCAGAGGCTGCCCAGCCCCTTCTGATATACCAGAGGTGGGGTTGTTGCTGAACTGCAACTCCCATCTTCTTCTTTGGTTCTCACTCGTAGCCGAGTAAGATTGTCTTCCATAAACACGGTTTTAACAATGAGTCCGTGAGTGACTCTGGAGGCCAATTCTGGACCCATACGTCCTTCCACAGTGGGGACATTGGTTCCCGGGCGGGAGTTGATCACAGTGTGGATTTGCCAAGCGTGCTTTCCTCTTAGCACGTTTCTCCCTTGTGTCGAGTTTGAGTGTCTTCAAAGTACATGACACCTTTGGTAAAGGTTGTTCTCCAACTGGAGCGCTCGGCCAGTGTTTCCCAGTTATCAGTGTTTATACTACATTTTTTTAGCTTTGCCTTGAGACAGTCTTTAAACCTCTTTTGTTGACCACCAGCATTACGCTTTCCATTTTTAAGTTCGGAATAGAGTAGTTGCTTTGGAAGACAATAATCAGGCACCCGCACAATATGACCAGTCCAACAAAGTTGACGTTGAAGAATCATTGCTTCAACACTGGTGATCTTTGCTTCTTCCAGTACACTGATATTAGTTCGCCTGTCTTCCGAAGTGATGTGTGAAATTTTTCGGAGACACCGTTGATCAAATGTAGTTCATACTCTATTTTTAGTATCTTCTGCATATCCAAATTCATTTAATTTGCTCATTTAATTATCTACTTTAAATATATACTCTTATGAAACTGCAGGTTATTACAGTAATCCTGCCAATGTTCTTATCTGTTTACAATTTATCTGTAAATATTCAACAAACCATTTCCATGCTTTTATTTTAAAAATTATTCTCCTGATTTCTTATTCTTCCAGTAAGTTTCACCATTTCTGCATATTCCATAAGTTTCTGCATCCATTCTTCCTTTGCTGGGACTTTTTTGGGCAAGTACCATTCTTGCTGCTGTAGTCGCATACATGAATAAATTTCTATACAGTTTAGGTAGTTCTGTCCCTATAATTCCCAAAAGAAAAGCTTCTTGGTTTTTTACAAAGGTTATTTTAAACATCCTTTTCATTTCATTATATATCATTTCCCAGTAAGCTTTAACCTTACTACAAGACCACCACATACCTTCTTTCTCTTTACATTTCCAGCAGTTATTTGATTTAGATTTCTACATTTTTGCCAATTTACTCGGTGCTAGATACCAAAGATATATCATTTTCATATCATTTTCTCTTAGACGATAACATGCTGTAAATTTTATATTACACATAATCGCTCCCATGCCTCCACGTCTATATTATGACCAATATCTATTGCCCAATGTATCACTGAGGATTTTACTTGCTCATCCTTTGTCTCCCATTCCAGTAATATTTTATACATTTTACACAGCACTTTTACATTACATTCCTGCATCGTCTTCTCTTGGAAGCATATAGAATGCTTTCGATCACCAAGAGCTATTCCTTTCCTAGGCCCTGATCTCACCAATGACTTTCTTTCCCGTCTTGTTCTCTTCATCAACCTTTTCCCTTACTAAAAATAAATTCCAAAGGTCTCTTAAAAGTCAAAACTTGGCAGGAGGAAAAAAAAATCTGCTTTTCAACTATGCATAATTTTCATTAGAGAAAGAAGGGTGTGTAGCGTTGCTGGTAAACCTTACTCAGCCAGTTTCGAGAGAAATATTGATGAAGAAAAAAACAAACTCCTTGCGGCCCACCCTCTTCTCACAATCCAGCTGGAAGTCACTCAATTTGGGCTTCTTGCGATACTACAAAAACGAGGCTCTCTGCAGAACCAAGCCTGGCAAGAAACGCTCTTTGTGTTCTAAGCATGAATGCGTGTACCAATTACTGGAAAAAATATTTGGAACAGCATATCCGCTTCAGAGTACGGTTCAAAAATAGTAAGGCTGAGAGTCTGAACAGGTTTCAACATTTCATGAGAGGAATATTTATAAAAATATGAATCATACCGTATCCAAATCAGTAATTTGGATCTGAGCAAATAGAATTATGGCAGGTGCTTGTTGAGTCACCTGGAAAACGTAACCCACAGCTGACAAAACAGGAGTAGCAGAGGCTTTAGGTCAGAAAGGTCACCGATAGCAGCTTTCCAGCTCAGTAACATCACCAGCTCTGCTGAAAACAAAGCTCCTTATGCCGTCAGCTCTCACATCAGGTTACAGCAGGGGGAAAAACCAAAAGCAAGCACTCTGTTGCAGCAGAGACCACCAGCTCCTTGGCTGCACCTCTCCTTGAACTCATCCACCCCAGCTGGTCATTAAAGAGCTGGCAACCAGGAGGGTAAACCTGAGTTTGCTTCTATCTTCCTCCTCCCCAACCCATTTTCCTTGTGTGCCGTGTTTTTTGAAAAATTATTATTATTATTGTAAGCCTGAAGGCAAGGACTTGTCTTGTTTGTATTGATCTGTATTAAGCTGCCCTGGGAGCTGTTTCTTTTTGGAGGAAGAGCAGGATAAAGACAATTTAAACACACTTTATTGATAAGGTAGTTTCTAGGCCCCCTCTCCCTGCATCGTCTGATGCTCTCAGGGTAGGTTGCAGCGGAGTAAAACCACAATTTATGAAAGCAGATACAGTGGTACCTCGGGTTAATTCGTTCCGGAGGTCCGTTCTTAACTTGAAACTGTTCTTAACCTGAAGCACAAGTTTAGCTAATGGGGCCGCCGGGCCGCCACCGCACTATTTCTGTTCTCATCCTGAAGCAAAGTTCTTAACCCAAGATACTATTTCTGGGTTAGCGGAGTCTGTAACCTGAAGCGTATGTAACCAGAGGTACCACTGTACAGAATTTGAGAGGACGGGCGGCGGGAACAGTCAGAGCTACAATCACAGCTCCCCGTTTGCAGACATAATGGAATTTCTAATCTTCCCTGCCCACTCCAAAAGCCCGGATAAATGGACAGGTTCCACCTGACACCAAAATGATGACAACGCTGGCATCAGTCATGCCTCTGGGTCAGCCTATGCCAAGCTAGCACCAGACAGATGCTTCACACTAAGCAGGGTTTGGCAAGGTTTACCTTGCCTGGGCCGGGCCGGTTCACTCCAGCGGAGATCCCTCCATGGGCCTGTGATTTCCGGTGTCTGCGTCTGCACAGATGCAATTTCCGACATCTGCGTCTGCGCAGACGTGATTTCCAACGCCACAAAAGTGAGTCCCCCCGCTGTGCTGCTTTAGCACAGTGTGCGGGGACTCGCCAAGCGAGCAACTCGGTTCAGGGACAGCTCGTGGGCTGGTTAAACGACCCCCGTGGCCCACCCGTGGCCCATGGGCCTTAGGTTGCCGACCCCTGCACTAAAGCTTCCATCAGGCCGAGCCAGCTTGGCAAAAGCTGCCCTAGAGAGAGGGCGTTTCAGAGGCCATTTGCATCACAAATGAATGAATAATCTAGGCAAAGCAGGAGTCAGAAGCTGCAAAGGCTGGGGCGAGCAACTTTCATTCATAAGAAGGGATATTTTGAGCAGCTCTGCCAGAGAGACGTAGCCATGAATTCTGCAAAGTTGTACAGAGGAATATGAAACTTTTATTGAAACAACAATCCCTGTATGGTCTCCCTGGACTCCCGGGGAAATGCACAGAGCATCTTAGTGCCAGCCAGATACAGAAGAACCACCATTTTCTTCATTTGACTGAGACAAGAGAGAAAATGTCTTCCGAAGGCAGCTTCCCTCTAGCAAAGACCACTGTGGGAGCACAACATCACAGGGCAGGCTTTGGCTTTTGGTCTCTGCAATGCCGCAGATCAATCAGCAAAACAAACTGGAAATATAAGACCCCCCAAAAATCAATTTTGACCCTATACAGCAGTTTCAGCCAAGCTGGTGCCCTTCAGACATTGTGGACCACAACTCCCCGTTAGCCCCAGTGATGCCTCAGTCCCACCGTAGGATTTGTGACATGTTCTCTTTGTTACAAAGGAACCGTCATCTCCCACACCAAACCCCTCTTTGCCTTACAAACACCCTTGGGTCTCCCGTCAATGCAATTCTGGATTTGGGAAGGCAACTTCCAACAGCAAATAGGGATGTTAGTCCCTGCTCTCCCCCTCCCAATCGAATCCAAACACCGATTTCCATCCGATTAGCCATTGCAAGGACCTTCAGTCAATTCCACAGGTTAAAAGCGACACAGAAGGAGCTCAAGGCCTGCAGGTGCACAAGCATTATGGTCACACCCCTTAAGAGCTCAGGAGAGAGCACAGGGTAAAGACTTCAGTCTGACTTCTCCCGTCAAGGAGTTCTCTTGTGAGACACCAAAAGAGGACATTCATGCCTTGAGCCCAGGCCAGATCTCTTGGGGGGGTGAAAGAGAGAGGGTAGGGAGGGAGAAAGATAGAGAAAGAGCCGTGAGTCTGTGCGGGACAAAGGTGTCCAGTGCTCAGTTCCTCAGTGGTCCTTTACGTGATGTCCTTCTGCCTGGGGGGGCGATGGATATTCCTCACCACGCACTTCACCATCCATTCGATCCCTTCGTTCACCCCTTTCCTGAGGACACACAAAAAAAGAAAAGGCCACCACTTATCACCCCCATCTTTGCAGTGTTCCTTCTGCCTTCAGAAATCCTTCCCATCACTCTCTAGGGCAGTGAGGCCAAACCTTTTGACGCTACCACCCCCTTGGTTCCATAAACTCATCCCCCACCCCACTCTATTGAAAAGCATTATTCAGAACAGCGGTTTGCATGACCCACTAAGGAAGATGACAACACTTAAAATTCAATACAGTAACAACTCATTGCACATTTATTCAAAATCCAATTAAAATTATTTAGTTTTATTCATTTAACAAAACTGGTAAACCCGATACCAGCTTTTCAAAGTCTGGTTGTCATTTACACTTCCAGCACTCCCCTAGAGGAACACGCCCCCAGGTTACCTCCCAATTTGGGAATCCTGGGTCTAGGGTCTCCCCATAGCCCCTTCCCTTTCCCATCTCCTGCTGTCTACATCTATGCTGCAGAAGGGTGCATTTTGAGAGCAAACACGCTATATAAATTCTAATAATAATAATAATATTAGGATAACATGACACAGGGGCTCTTGATGCTCCAGGTCATGCAACTTAAAAGGTTGCATATCACAGGCTGGGTCATTTTCATTCGAGGTCACCTTGCTGGGTAGCCACAGGTGGCCAGGAAGTCAGTGCAGGTGAGGGCAGGAATAGGTGAGGGAAGCCCAGGTTTCTCTCTTCCTTCGCTGCCAGCCCTCTAGGTTTCCATTGTGAGCCCTGGAGGAAGGGAGGTTTCATATTCCGCAACTAGGACAGAAACACAGCAGGCTGGCGGCCAAGGAGATGGAACCTGTCGGGACTGCTATCGGAACAGGGAAGGGAGGCAGCGGGATACAGAGAGCCTCCGACGCTTCTGAGGAGCAGCTCATCGTCCAGCGGTGAGGAAAGTCACACCTCCAGTGGAGGGAAGGGGCCAGCCAAGCGAGGAGAGGGCTTGAAGATGCTGCTGAGAGCCCAAGCACCTCTCCTAGCCCGGCTGGCCAGGAGGCACACATGCCGTTTCCATCGCCCAGCCTGCACAGAGGGATGAAATGGAAGGAGGGGAGGTGGAGATTTGGGGTGTCTAAGTTCTTATGCTGGGGGAGGGGGGAACCGGAAGGGGCCACTCCCGGATTCTGCAAGTGACTAAGATGGACATGAACTTTGTGGTTCTGCACTGTAAATAGTTTGCACCAATAAAACCTGTAAAAGACAGGTTGGAGTCCTGCCTGCTTACTCACGAGCAACCACCAACAGCATCTGACAGAACCCTTTGTCCCTTTGCGTCAGTGCTGGCTTCCCCTTCTCTGCAGCGTGCCCACAAATGCAGGCTAGTCGGTATTTCTGTGGGCTTCCCACTTTTGTCAGCTTGTTCATAAGCCTGGTTTAATCACTCCTTTGTTCTTTGCCAGGGTTTGCCTCCCGACTGTTGTTGTAGCTCAGCACTGCCACTCCTTGCCAGCTCACACAGGTCGCTCAGCGATCTTAAGGGCCAGCTAGCGAATTTTGTGCCTGAGATCGGATGAAGCTTCAGCCACTATGCCTCATCAGCCTCAAGGAGGCAGCCTCCCATGTAAGCCACCTCTTTTAGTGCGGTCAGAAGGCAATCTGGCAGCAGGCCTCCCCCTCAACCTCAAGGGTAGATGGTGCAACCACAGGCCAGGGCTGGTATTTCCTCTCTACACCTTCTGTCTTCGTACTTCTCCAGCCTATGACGGCATCCACCCGGGACATGCACCCTCTTTTGTTGCTGCTTTGCACCAGAGCACTGATGGGCTGCCCTTCTCCACTTACCCTGTCAGAGCAGAGCAGGCTTGGGTCAGGCAGTCTCTCTTCCCGATTTTGTTGATGCAGTCGCTGAAAGCCGTTTTGATGTCAGGGATGGACAGGCAGCTCTGCAGGAGTAAACGAGGGAGTAACTGTCAGAGGTTTGTCCTTTTACAAAGCACCTCCTTCGCTCACCTACAGCGAGTCTCCCTGGACTTGGAAGCCAGGGCAAGATATATTGGATCAGCTTATGCGCTGAGCCAAACTCTAAGGACCTGAAAATCATCTAGGCCAGACTCACTGCCAGACACAAGCCGCAGAGAGAACTGTGCAACTCTACTTTACTCAGAAGCCTAGCCAAAGCGTGAGTCTGCTCATATTTAGGAAGCAATGTAATGCTAAGCCCCTTTTAGTCATTAAGGCTATTCTCTGCAGAAAAAAGGACATCTGTAAACAAATGCGCATGTGGCGTCAGAGCGCCATGCAACCGGGAACTCTGCTTTTTCATGTTTCCTAATAGCCCAGAACCCTGTCAGTGCACATTGCAAATGTGTGCGCCAACTTTTTATTTTTAATGCACCTTTTATTTAGGCAAATAAGACGGGGAAAACGAAACAATGTCAGCTGACTTTAACAATAAAAATGTTCCATCGACCCTGAGTTCAAAGTATAGTTTAACAGACACAGTCCATATGTTCAAACAAGTATCCAAATGAAACTGATGATTTTAAGCTATATGTGCAAACGCCAAGTTAAGTTTTCAAAATGCTGCGCAGACGTTACTTCTGCCATCCTTACAGCAATTCTCACAGTGTTTTATTTGGGCAGGCTCTTGAGGGCTGTAGTTAAGTTGCCAGAGATATTACAGGTATCAGTGTCAAACTATATTTCGGTCACAGACCAGCACAAGATAAAACACGCGGATAAATGGAGCACGTAAGACTCAAAACAGGTAAGGGATAAAAACTAGTAATTAAAAGCACCGTGCTTTTTTTTGTTCACTTTTTAAAAATGTGTCTGAATTGTTCCAGCCCACACTTCAACCGCAGCTGCTGGGAGACAAACAGGGATTTACGAATAAGTGGTAAATCAAACATATAGTACCAGGGTTGAGCAATAGATAAGGAAATACAAGTAAGATGTTTTAAAAGAAACTTCCTCAGTTGTTTTCAGATTGCTGGGATTATAAAGAGGAGGAATCGTCCACATCTGCGCAAAGTTGCGTTACTGCTTGGCCATTTAAGTTAAGTCATTTGTGTTTAAGTTCAATGTCATCATTGGGGAAAATTCCAGAGTTCGAAAACAGCAGGAAGAGGTCCATGAAGCAATAATTACTGAGAGGGATTTGTACCGAAGGATCTCCAGTGAACTGCCTTAGGACAGAGATGGCTAAGTCCCCTGGGTATTCAATTAGGACGACGTAATAAACATAACGAAGATAGCAGGCATCATGCATTCGTGGAAGAAAGCAATGTTTGGAAGAGGCTCAGGAATCAAGACAAAAACCCAGCAGACGGGTTTTGGTGAGATACTTCCCTGAGATTTTGATTGCTCGTGGAAAATGCAAAGCACTTTTGCCATTCCCTTATATACACACTCTCGGTCTAGCCTAAGCCATCTTGCTGAAACTCGGGTGGAGAGGGCCCAGAGTGGGGTTTGGGTCTGGCTCCAGAGGTAAACGAGACCCATTCTTCAGCGCAGCACAAACAGCCCTCGCTGCAAAGGGGAAAGGCAAATGTCACGTGCCCAGAGCTAGTAGTAAATGTTGAACTAAATGCTATAATTAACAAAACAATGTAATACGCCAAGATTATTGTGGCATAAACTGCTATGGGCTACAGTACAGCTTTACTCATGCTGCCTCTGGATCCACAGAATTAGTTACCGTATTTTTTGCACCATAACACTCACTTTTTTCCTCCTAAAAAGTAAGGGGAAATGTCCGTGCGTGTTATGGAGGGAATGCCTACGGGTGGCATGCCTACGGATTTTCCTCCTCTAAAAACTACGTGCGTGTTATGGTCGGGTGCGTGTTATAGAGCGAAAAATACGGTAATTAACTGCATTTTTGCCCCACCTGCATACTTCTCTCCCTCTCCCATTTTATCCTCACCGCAACCCTGTGAGGTAGCTCAGGATGAAATACATTGGCTGATCCCTCAGTGAGCTTCATGGTTGAGTGGGGATTTGAATCCTAGTCTCCCAGGTCCTAGTCCCACACTCTAACCACTACATAACACTGCCAGCACGAGTAGCAGCCACTGGTGTACTTCTTTTTCTCCAAGAATCTATCCAATTCCTTTTTAAAGCCTTCCAAGGCCACGGCCACTGCCAGATTTTATGGAACAATGTTGTTTTCCAATAAAAGGGGCGAAGATGGTGGAGTCAGAAAGATCTTCCGAAGTCTGGGGGGCACCTCCCTGGCAGAGTACTCAACCAGCAGTGCACTCAATAACTGCAGAATACAGGGCAGGACCTCCACACGGACAGGTTCATGCCGGCAAAGTATAGGTATATGGATACTAAACAGCTTGGCTTTTTTAAAAAGTCGGAACCAGAACTCTGAATGCCAAAGGAGACCGGATAGGCTCCTGCGTCCGTCTCTTAAGTCTGTGTGTGGTCTTGCAGACATCATCTTTGTAGTGTTTGTGTGCTGGGGGGGTTGACACAGAATGCTTGGAACTCAAGTCTAAAACATTCCTTCCCGTAAAAGCGTCCAGGTCATCTAAGGTCAAAGGGATGGGAACCGGCCCCACTTAGCTAATGGAGCAGCATGACGTTATAACAATAAGTACACAAGAGCACAAAGGTGTCCCTGTAAAAGAACCAGCATGCTGCATATTAAATATTGCACAATCCTTAGGAAACCTTTCCCAGGCAGATCCATTAACACAGCTGTGTGCCTGAGGGCTTCTGGACTCAACAGCACTAAATCTTTTAAGCTCGGAAAGTTGTTTGCCCGTCTGTTCTCTATACATTCAGACAACTCTTCATATATTGTCAGCAAACTTTGACGATACGGGCCCTGAGATCGAGGAGCAGGTCTGGGTCTATGTTTTGCTCTAATGAGACACCATTTTGAACCAAGATAGCAGGCGGAACCTTCCAAAGGAGATTAGCACATCATTTGCAGCATCCTTAACTGCCTGGAGGAATTGTCTTCAGAGGAGGTCCTGGCACTCCCCAAAGCAACTGTTACAGAGGAGTAGGCTGGTCAATTGTTATGGACCGGCTGGATGAAGGGGACTGGTGGGAGGCAGCAGCTGGGGAACCCCCAAGGGAAGAAGACTCAGAGCCAGGGGATTAGTGGTGGTGGGACGACATTGAGAAGTCAAAGGGAGACGAGGGAGCAGACTGGGAGGAGGAAGTGTCGGAAGCTGAAAAGGTACTAGGGTTTAGGGAACAGGAGGCGGCTGTGCCAGAGGGTAGTCTCTAGACCAGCGATTCTCAACCTGTGGGTCCCCAGATGTTGTTGGACTACAACTCCCATCATCCCTGAGCTCTGGCTTTGCTAGCAGGGGGTGATGGGAGTTGTAGTTCAACAACATCTGGGGACCCACAGGTTGAGAAAGGCTGCTCTAGACCATGGGTAGGCAAACTAAGGCCTGGGGGCCGGATCCGGCCCAATCGCCTTTTAAATCCGGCCTGCAGATGGTCTGGGAATCAGCGTGTTTTTACATGAGTAGAATGTGTCCTTTTATTTAAAATGAATCTGGGTTATTTGTGGGGCCTGTCTGGTGTTTTTACATGAGTAGAATGTGCGCTTTTATTCAAAATCTGGGTTATTTGTGGGGCATAGGAATTCGTTCATTATTATTTTTTTCAAAATAGAGTCTGACCCCCCACAAGGTCTGAGCGACAGTGGACCGGCCCCCTGCTGAAAAGTTTGCTGACCCCTGGTCTAGACCCAGAGGCAAGAGAGGAGGAAGGACAGGAGATAGAGATGAGATAGGATGCTGAAGAATCCAGGGAATCTCCCCCTCCTGCTGCGACCAGCTCCTCTCCCCCGCTCTCCCAGAACAAGTAGAGGAATGAAGAGAGCAGAGCAATGAGGGACTATATGAAAGAGCTGAGATTGCTAGGGAAGGACCTGGGATGGGGGGGGGAGTCTTAGGGAGCAGTGGGAAGACACAGACCTTCAGTCCTCGCAACTGCCTCATTTGGGCAAGACCTACTGGGAAGGGTTGCTGTGCTCCCCAGGCCTGCACTCTTTTGTTTCCTGGAATAAAGATTTAACTTGATTGACATTGGGTGCTTTTATCGTTTTATTGCTGACCCACGCCTCACTCCAACTCCTGACATCAAAAGACACTGAGACGGAGCAGGGCGTCTGGGGCCCTAGGAACAGAGGGAGCTGCCTTTTGCAGAGGCAGACTATGGGCTCAATTAACCCCATCATGTCTACACTGAAAAGGGATTTAGAGAGAGCCTCTCTTAGCCCTGCCAGGATATGCCATGGATTTGAACTGGGGACATTTTGTATGTGATCTTTTCTATGTAATAATAATTAAAAACGTCTATATTTTAATTGGACTTATGTTTGTGATCATGGTATCTCCCCTGCCAGGTAAGTAATTGGACTTATGTTTAATTGTTTTTTAATTATTGCCTTTTAGTAAGTTTTTAGCTGTGTCTATCTTAGCTGTAAGTTGCCTTGAATCTTGTTGGGAAAAAGGCAGGATGGTGATGATGCAACAGAGATGCTGCACCTCTAAGCTATGGCTTTCAGTGGCCCTGGCACCCCCCCCCCCAACCTCCTTTGCAAGACAAGAGAGGTGGAGCCTCAGCAAACTCCCAAGTAATGGCAAGTCAAAGGTTGTCAGCTATAAATGGATAGGGATGGAGTGGCCTGGGAGTCACGAGGGAATGAGAAATTGGGCATCTGACCAGTAAAAAACAATCTGCTCAACTGAAAAGTCAAATACCGGTCAAGTATTTTTAATTTGACGCATTCAGCAGGTTTGATGCCTGAGCTAATTAATCATTATTGTGAAATGGGGAAATTGTGATGAATAACATTAGGCAACTGTGTTATATGCTGGATGTTGAAGTCATTAATACTTGCATTAATTAATTAACGTTAATAGCTTGCATTAATACTAGGTCTCAAGATAGAGAGAGCATGCACTCTAATCGAAATAGTCTCTAAATACTGTTGATACGAGGCTACACCAAGGATCCTGAGATGAATGAATGAATGGCTGACACCAATTTTTGAAGACCACCCTTCAAAGATCTGCACTGTTTGCCAACTCATTACTGAGCCCAGTTCAATGTTTTCTCTATATGGCCCTAAAGACTTGGTACCGAATTATCTGAAGGGAGGATGCTGTCCTGCTCACAAGTTGAGATCTGCCAGGGAGGTCCTTATGGCCTAGTGATATATGGATAATGTTGAATACAGAACCCCATGTTGGTGCTAGAATAAGCTATTGCTGAAGCTTCCTGCCCAGGTCTTCTGAAGATCAGTTTGCTTTCAAAAGTTAAGTTTGTGAAAGATGGAGAAATGCATGGCTACGCTTTAATCTGACTCTGATCTGGATGTGTTGGATTAATTTTATTAATATGTTTGCTGGGACCTGTCCTGCTTTCTTTTAGTGAAGGGTAGGATAACACCCCCCCATTAAAATAATAATATAAACCTCAGTTGTTAGCCAGATCTGTCTCCAGCCTTAAGTGAAGCACATGGGTTCTCCTTCTGAGGCCAGAAACAGAAGTAAAAAATAACACTGCAGCTTTTGTATAAGCAAAGCCAGAGATAAATTTTGGATGATGCTGTGTTTGTAAAAGAAGTCAAACAAAGCACTACCTAGCGGTTGGAAATTAAGTGCCACATCATCCAAGAACAGGGACGATCTTTTTATTTTTTCTTCTCCCTCCCCCAGCAAAACAGCAATAGGAAGAAGAATTCAGAGGAAGTTGCTCACTATTACTCAGCACTATTTTGTTTGATCCTAATAAAACCAACTTATTGCTCACTGAGAATTTCTCCTAGACGAACACAGTTTATGATTTCGTTTGTTTATTCCTTGTTCTTTTGTTGTTTTTGGCTCCCATCCTGGAAAAGCACTGTCAGGGCTACAGTAGATTTTTCTTAATTTCTTTCCAAAACACACACAAAAAAAAACAGAAATAAAGGAAGACGTCTCTTTAAAAAATACAACTGGCTCTTTTTTGTTTAAGAAAAGTTGCTTTGTTAAGGATGCAGCATTCTTCAGTTAACATCAACCTCAATATGTAAAAAAACCAAAACACTATTTCACCCAGTCTTCCTCAGCTTCGCATACTCTTGGTTTTTTGGACAATTCACTGGGGCTGGTGAGAGTTGTAGTCCAAAACATCAGGACGTCGCCTGGTTGGGGAAGAAATCCCACCTTAGTTCCTATAGCGAACAAGGTGGGAGTCATGGGCTGCTAAGCTTGGTCCCTGGCAAATGTGTTCCTGTGTGGAGATCCCTGCAGCAGAAGCAGCAAAACAAAGTCTCCTGGGCATGGAGAGCAAGCAGCTAGAATTCTTGCCTTTGCTAGCAATGGGCACCATTGTTATTTTTTAAAGGGACTGCATCCAACCAAGATGTCACATTAGTTCAAGGACTTCTCCTCTATAAGCTGCCCTCAGTCTGTTCTAGAGTGTCAGGGAACTGCCATCAGCTCAGAGGCAAGAGGCGGAAGAGCAGTTGTGTTACAGGGAGCCTCCGAAGATCTTGCGAAGCAGCTCTTCCTCTGGCGAGGAGGGAAGCCAGTGGGGAAGGGATGCAGGGATCAGAAGATGCTAGGGAGAGCCTCAACACCGAGCCTGAGCAAAGTGGAGGGGGAGGCAAGTCCCCCTTTGCCAACGCCCACTTTGTGCAGTAGGTTTGCGCGCAGAGAGGGGAGGAGAAGGATGGGGGTCAAAAGACTGTTATGCTGGGGAAGGTATAAGGACCGCCCACTCCCAGATTCTGCTAGCGACTGAGCAGACATGGACTTGTGACGCTCTGCACTGTAACATAGTTTGTACGGATAATAAAGCCTGGAAAAGACAGGTTGGAGTCTTGCCTGTTTGCTCTCGAATAACCACACCAGCACCTGACATAGAGGTTCCCCAACTCTCTGGAGCAGATCCCTTTTTTGGGGGGGGGGGGGCGGCACAGGTAGAAAACAATCCCATTGCACAGGCAGAAGTCCTCATGCCAATGGGACGGCTTTACTGGATGCAACCCAAGGAAAGCTACACAGCGCTGCTCTCAACTTCATGAAGCATCTGACCAGCCAACTGGAATCCTGGAATCATGTATAAAACTTTGGCACAAGATCTGCTGCAGCCAGACACTGCTTCTGCGTTTGGACATTAGATGATCAGATGAGAGGGCAGCTGCCGCAGCCCAAAAGGACAGCGGGGGACTGAAACAGTTCCAGCAAACAGAATGGCTAGAGACGAAAGGAGAGTTTCCAAACTGAACCTCCCTGAAGTAAGAGAAACTTTGCCCAAGTGTTTTCAGGTGTAATCAAGCCTGGATCTACCTGCGCGGCCCAGAATCGAGTTCAATAGATTGTGATGGATAGTTTTTGGTTTCAAATGTTCCTCTAGTGAAAACCAAAATAAGCCTTCTTTCTCCCTGCTTTGTTAAGGTTTTTTTTCCAGATGAAGCACTCATTGCAAGGGGACGAGGCACTCTTCACATGGGAGAAATAGCACCCTGTCCACTTCAACACCTCATTTTTGCTCCGGGTATAGAGCAGGCCCCAGCAACGGCAGACTTTTAAGTTTGGAGGGATGCGGTTGAATTTCCTTTAGTCGTGCACCCATGTGCTAAAGCCCACCCTTAGTCCCCCATCAGGCTTAGCAATTTGGCTGGCACCCCACGGGAAACAGAGATTGCTCTAAAGTCCTCTGTGCAAGTCTCTTTGTGGTGTGAGGGCACACGCTAGTCTGGCACATTCCACAGATGCCGGAATTCATCCCTCGTAGGCACTCGTTGCAACACTTTCGCCAATTCTTTACAGAAGCGTGCGTAACATAAACCAGAGTGGAACATCTGACGCAAGCACAAAAAAATTCATAAGCATGACCCAGTTCTTCGTTTAATTTTCGCTTCCACATTCCAGACTGCGCAAAGCACCTTCTTTGGGCAGCACCCACCTAGTACTGCCACTGAGTCAAGCTACAACCTTTAGACAAAAGGCATTTGGAAAGCGGAATGCCAGGAAAAAATGGTGCCAGAAACGTAGCGTTTCCTTTGTATGTATGTCAGTAATCACCACCACCCCTCTGAGAGGAAATTCCAAAAAAGGTTTGCTCCGTTTGCCCAAGCTCCTGAGAATCTTTGAGCTATGGTGAATAAGAAGACTGCTGCTCCTTGTTTTGATGATAGATGCATTTCATCCCGGAGATTTCGATGTGCACATTTTACTTCTGTATGCATAAAGGTTTCTGCAGCGGAACTCTGAAGACCTTTAGTTGCCACATTAAATTGGGTGACGTGTTTATTTGGCATAAGCTCTTGTGGACTGCAAACCATCAAGTGCATGAAGTGAGAGTCTCGGCAGGATTAGTGTGCACATCCGCCGGCACAAATTATGTGTGTGCATTCAAGGTGCAGAACTTAACAGTACTGTAGGGTCTATCCCGTTTTCAATGAGTGACTGGCTCCCCCTAGAGGACAGAGTGCGGGCACTGCAGCTGTTGGGATTAATGAAAGCTACAGTGCCAGTCTTCCCCCAACCCGTGCCTTCCAGATATTGTGAACTACAACTTCCATCAGCCCCAACCAGCACAGCCATGGGGAGGGAAGACCGGCTACATCAGAATTCCTAGTACACTGGATACCACAGCCAGGGCATCAAAGAGTATGACATATCTTGCCCCTAGCATGCAACGCCTCTTTTCTTGCATATTCATTCACTTCAGCCAAAACTGAAGAAAGATCAGCTTTGGGATAGATTTGAGCTTCAGGGTCAGGGATTAGAGTGCAGATCCAGAAACATTGGAGGGCAGCAGTTTCTCCCTCCCAGAGACTTTGCTCTGAATGCATCTGCTTTTATGCTCTCCACTGGAAGGCTGGCTTCCTGTGTTATGGGGCAGTAAACTGATACCTAGGGGACGCAGGTGGCACTGTGGGTTAAACCACAGAGCCTAGGACTTGCCGATCAGAAGGTCGACGGTTCGAATCCCCGTGACAGGGTGAGCTCCTGTTGCTCGGTCCCTGCTCCTGCCAACCTAGCAGTTCGAAAGCACGTCAAGGTGCAAGTAGATAAATAGGTACCACAACGGCGGGAAGGTAAACAGTGTTTCCATGCGCTGCTCTGGTTTGCCAGAAGCGGCTTAGTCATGCTGGCCACATGACCCGGAAGCTGTACACCGGCTCCCTCGGTCAATAAAGCGAGATGAGCGCCACAACCCCAGAGTCGGCCACGACCGGACCTAATAGTCAGGGGTCCCTTTACCTTTTAAACTGATACCTATGTCACCAAAAACACACTTGTCAGGCAAACACATACAATCCCAGCACACCAACTCCTTCCCATGGAAGGAGATAGAAAAAGCTGTATTTGGCCCTACTTTCTGGAGGCAATGGGAAGAGCAAGACAGACCAGGATAGCTCCCCTCCAAGAAAATACATTGTTGTTGCTTTTTGCACCTGAGACCACCTCTCCTGGTTTGAGGTCACCTAACATAAGACCACTACAAACATCCAACAACCAGTTTATACAAAATGCACAGGGAAGGACAGAAAATATTCAGGTCACATTTCCTGGAGGCTACTGAAATGTGTAAGCTCACAGCAACTATGTCTGGTAACTAGAAAGTCACAGAAGCAGCCAGAGAGGGATAGGCTGAGATTACCGATTATGTATCAGTGAAAAGACATATGTATCCTTATGGAAAGCGGGACCTAGTTTCTGTTCCATTTTATAGATTTGTTGCTGCTAAGTTCTTATGCCATTCTCTTCCCCCTTATTGTTGCTTTTATATTTTAGCTGTGCTCAATTTTGCTAGCTACTTAAGAAGGCAATAGAAAAGTAGTCCTGAAATACTAATTAGAAATTTTAAAACACCACTAACTGGGAATGATTTTGAAACAAATGATGATCTCACCTCCACGTCTTGCTTGTTCGCCAGAACCAACAATGGAACACCTTCCAGGACTTCACTAGTTACCATCTTCTCTGTGAGGAAGATGAAAGGGAGAAGAGAACTGGGTTATATCCAAGGCCACAGCTTGTAGTCAAGGAGGTGAGCTTAACCACAAACATACATTTGGATGGCAAGTTAAGCCGAACCTTGACTTAGCTCAGCGAAGTATGGGAGTAAAAGAAGACCAGGGAGGAATAAAATGACTACAAGTTCCTCTCTGGAACAGGCCATTAACAGAGATCCTGTGTATGTCAGAATGAAAACACTTTTGCACTAAGGACTCAGTGGCAAGAGGACATTTGTAGGGACTGAAATAGTTAAATCGTTTAGTTAAACTGTATTGAAGAGAAACTGCTAGGTGGAAAGAAAACAAGGCCATATTTGAAAGGGTTGAAAGGGAGCGATCAAGCTATGTTACAGATAAGAAAACATTTGCAGACATCAGAAGATAGGAGAATGCAACCAATCATGCTTTAGAAGCTTCAATGAAAATGGCTGATTGTGTAAAATAGGGTAGCAACAAAGGGAAGTAAATGTGCATATAAAAAGGTACAAGCTGCTAATTGGTTAGTGTTCCTGAAATAATGCTTTAAGACTGTGTTCTTAAAGAGTGGGTTTGATTATTTTACACTGCTATATCTATACTTGTATTACATTTGAACCCTTCGCAGTGACTTCTGCACTGGGATTGCCCACCTTGCACGTGCAAACAAATGCTTATTGATTCATTGCCTTGCTATTATTGGCCTCCAGTAAGGGAACCTAGATATTCCCCTACACATTCATATCACACTTTTGATCCAATTGTCCGCAACTAAACTGTAGCCTATGCACAGCCGAGGGGAACATCTGGAGTAAAAAAGTTAAACGAGGGGTTCCAGGAAAACTAGCAACTCTGGGAATTTGCACGCTGTTTCGGCTCTTTAGCTATCCTGCTGCAAATTCTCCCCCCCCCTGCTATTTTTCATAAAACAGCTGTTAAACAAGTATTCCGTTTTATCAGAAATGAGTAGATAATAACTAGATAGATAATAACTCATCAGGAATAAGTAGATAATAACTGAAGTTATTAGACTGTCTTTTTTTCACAGGGGGTAAGTTGTGGAATTTATTGTCGGGTTGACTGCTGCTGGGAAGAAGTCCATGTAGCGCCAAGCAGACTGGTCCATCAGCGCAAGTATTTCTGCTTGCCTCACGGAACAATCTGTCTTCTCCTTCCCCCACGTGCTGCTCTAGGTGTTTTCCCACCCCAATTTTGGGAAGCATGTGCGAGGGAGAAAGCCCTGTTGCAACACAGAAGTCCTTGTGTGGGGTGGCGGAGCTTGCTAGCTGAATTCCACCCTCTGAATTTTATTTATATTACTGCTTTAGGTTTTCGTATTGTACAAATATTACAGTCTGTGTTTATTTGTAATTTATTATGTGTATTGTAAAGAGCCAGTGACCTTTTGATGAATGGCAATATATACAGATTTCTTAAATAAATAAATGATAGCATATTATTTGGAAAGCTATGTTGAAAAGGCCAACCACGTAACCAGCTAGCTGCACTGACCTTTAAAATGACGTTCTGCTGCAAGGAGAGGGAGAACGCATATCTTTGCTAGGGCATCTCTGGACTTAATTGGGGGCTTCGACTTTTGCTTTGCGGTTGGCAAAGTCACAGGAATACACTCTGCTTGTTTCAAGCAGTTTTAAGCCCCTCCCACCCTACAAAGACGAATTCCAGGAAAACTCCCCGCATGCTCACCGAAAGCTCGTTTTGATTCCGAAAGCCTTTCTTCATCGGTGGAGTCGATAATGTAGATGACGCCATGGGACTCTGCATAATACTGAAAACATAACATAGGAGCTAAACCAAGTTGTTCTCCTCACCTATTTCATGGGACTGCAGGGACAGAAGAAACTAAACCCTAATCCTGCCCAGCTGCTTGATAGTTGCCTGCACAATTAACTCCCTGCAAATTAGCAAGCACACAGTCCTTTCAGAACGCTCTGCGCTACAAGCAGAAGCCAAAGGTGCGCACTAATGCCCCAGAGACATATGCCAAAAGCATAGCTGTCAACTTTTCCCTTTTCTTGCGAGGAATCCTATTCGGAATAAGGGAATTTCCCTTAAAAAAAAGGGAAACGTTGACAGCTATGCAAAAGAGTGCAACAAAGTATGTCGCTATAAATGGCTCACAGAAAGAAAACTAACTGCACATAACAAGCAGGTGTTAAATTCCCAGGATTAAACAGTCTATCTATACAGTTTGTTAAACAAAAATATAAATAAGTACATACATACATACATACCAATGGACATCAACAAGGCTATTGACTGTTTTCAGAACAAAAACATAAAGCTCTCCTGGGTCATTAAAACAAAACCATGGGGACAGTAAAACTTTACTTTTATTAGAAAAAAAGCAACACTACATTTTCAATACTTGATAGCCTGGATAAAAACTATTTATTGTTCTTGCAAAGCTCTTAACTGAACTAGGCTCTGATTCCATGCTACAATTACACAGTGACTTCATTTATATCCAGCCTTTTCCCTTCCTGAACTCAGTGTGGGATATCCTCACAAGTAACTCTGTCAGGTAGGTTAGGCTGACAGGTCGTGACTAGCCCATGGCTAAGTGAAGATATGAACCCAGGCTTCCCCAGTGCTCGTCCAACACCCTAACCACTAGGCAACACTGGCAAAGCTGTACTGTTGAAGCTCACATAAATACTAGGATGAAAGAGTCCTCACCTCCCAGAAACCCACACTATTATAAAGAAATTGGTGGGATTGCACAGAGAAGACATTTCATTTGCATAGTCTATATCCTTGCATAAGTCTTGTCTGATGGTCCCAATACACTTTGGGTTGAATCCGGACTTTGTGGATCTTCATTCCCCATTAAATCAAAAGTCAAGTCATGATTAACTTGTCCTATTGGGTTTCGGTGAGGATCAAGTTCAATGATCTTCGTCTGGATCCAACTCCTTGTGTGCTGCCCACACTGATTGGAAAGCGCAATTAACTGGGGAGCTCTCTTGCTACAAATTTCAAAGGGACCATTATTAAGATGGCAAGGCATTTCTGAACACACAGCTGTCATCCCTACCTTATCCCAGAGAGATTGAAGCTCCTCTTGTCCTCCAAGATCCCAGAACATTAGCCTGGCTTTGCCCACATCTATAGTGCCAACTAGAAGACAGACAATAACCCAACATGGGCCTTTTTTCTGTACAAAGAGAAATCCAAAAGTCCCCCAGAGGTGATGTTTGTCAAGAGGCACCACTGAAAAACTACCCAGAATCCTTCACAAGATGCAGAGGCCCCTCAATGTGAGATAGAAGTTTGATTTATTTCCTTAGGAAGAGAGGTTTTGAAAACCACTGCTCCAAAGCCAATGAAAAACATTTGAAACCTGAAGCAGGAATAGGGGGCAAGCAATGAGGGAGAGTTGACAGTGCCCACAATGAAAAAAAAAATGTTAAAGTGCAGAGTCATTAATTAAATCGGATAGGCTAGAGAGAAAACTCTGTATTCTGTATTCTTTTCCCCCTGGCAGTCTTAAGAGAAGCACTGTTATCTTCAGAATGCATATATCATGGCCTTGGATGCTTCAAGCAGCTGCTCAAACTCCCTTTTTAAACTTTTCTAAATAGTTCCCCACCCCGTCAAGGTAAACTCTTATTTAAACCTTATTTTCACTTCACCAAACTAGATTCACTTACTGTTCAAGCCCACAGTAGTTGTGATTTTGGATAAACTCATTCCTTTGTAGTTCCTGTTAAATCTTGTTTTAGTCTGTTCAAGGAAGGTCTGGAAAAAAATGGAAGCAGGGGAGGGAGAAGGAAAACAGGTCGTTAAACTAAGTGCTTTCTGGGACACAGGAAAACTTTATTGTAAAACTGGAATTCCAAGATTTATAGCTCTGCAATCAATCAAATCTAGCTGCTGCTAGCCAACAAGGAAAAATTCTGTGACCAAATTAGCAATCTTACATAATCTCCACTGAAATAAGAATTTCCTTTTTATGGAATATTATGGAGCTTAACATTTAAACCGGGAAAAGAGTGGCAGGGGTCCATAACCGAGAACACGGGGACAGAATAAAGCATTAGTAAGACAGAGGTCTGCAGTCACAACCCACCCTAACTATCATTCTGCTGCTTCACTGAGCTAAGCCATGGTTTGTCTGTAAACCACGAGCCCAGATTCAAATGCCATGCTAAGCCAACCCATGACTGAGCTCAGCGCACAGCAGAACGACCAAGGAGCAAGGCAGCCACAACTTCCTCTCCCAGAGTTTGCACGAAGCCATTTCCACTTCAAATCAGGCCAGAGTTTGGCAGTCCTTAGACACTTTTTTTTTACTCCAACACTGTATGAGCAGAAAGCAAGTTCATGCAATGGATCTTTCATTTCCCCCTGCACCCCCCCAAAAAACCCCTCTTCAGTGAAACCTACAAAACATCATGGGCCATGCTGGATGGGACTACAGTGGGTGGGTGGGGGGCAATCACCCAAAATCAGGCATAACAGACTCAACCCAAGTTCAAGCAATTTTCTCCTGCCTTCCACTGTAGTCTTGTATGAAACAGTCCACAGTGTTCAGTAGGTCTTTCTTGCCTTCTGCTCTTGGAACACTGGATTCCTTTGCTACAGGAATTCTGAGCAAACTTTTACCCAGCAAAACCCAAGACGATCGAGCCCCTTAATTTTATATCTGCTTGCAACAAAAATATTATTATGCAAGAAAATTGCTAGAAACTCAAACCAATGAAGATCTGGGGGGGAGGGGGGTTGGACAGCTGACCTAATGATGCTAATTGTGTGCTGTTTGCCTGAAGGATTTATCCTCCTAAAATTAGAATTCGGGATTAATTCATTTTACCTAGCACCTTGGAAATTACTACATGATACATGAAACCAGACAAGGTAGTGAGGAAGAGGAGAGGGTTCTCTTTTCTCCTCCACCAAACAAGCATTGGAACACACCGTTTTACCAGCATTGTCCAGTCCAAGGATCAAGATACAGTATTCATCCCTTCGGAACATATACTTGTAAAGCCCAGATAGCAGTGTATACATCCTGACCCTACAAGCAAAAATATCAAATATTAGATTGCTAGAAATGTGTCCTCCCCCTACAAGCACATTATGTTCCTGACCCATCTCAGGAGGACATGACTTGAGGCCCTATGCATGCCGCCCAAACAACATAAGAACGACTTTTCTGCACCTTGGGGAAACATGTTCACTGATGTGAGCAGGGGCCACTCATGCAGACTGCAGTCAAGTCAGCTGCTACCTGCCTGCTGGAAGGAAGGCAACCAGTCCTGCAGGGAGCGCACCAACATCATGCTTATAACTACCCGGCCATTTTAACCCTCAGCTACAGTAAGCCTCATCTGAGTACAACACCAACGTTCTTGTGGTGTAGGTAGGAGGATGTTTCAAAACCACAGTGTCGGCTAGAAAATAAAAACACAATGAAAAAAGAACCAGCTGCAGGTGGTGCAGTTTCCCCATGAACATATATAGCCTATTTGAAAAAGATAACATCAGCCTTCTGAACCAAGGCAGATAAGCCTGCGGTCTCTTTCTTACATGTAACTATGTTTAGCATCTAGTGAAAAGAGTACATGCATTCCTAGATTTGCTTTGCAAGAATTTGTATTTAATTACATACACAAAAGATGAAGAAGAGTTTGGACTTGATATCCCGCTTTATCACTACCCTAAGGAGTCTCAAAGCGGCTAACAATCTCCTTTCCCTTCCTCCCCCACAACAAACACTCTGTGAGGCGAGTGAGGCTGAGACTTCAGAGAAGTGTGACCAGCCCAAGGTCACCCAGCAGCTGCATGTGGAGAGGGGAATCGAACCCAGTTCACCAGATTACGAGTCCACTGCTCTTAACCACTACACCACTGAGAAAGCCATTAAATCATTCATTATTTTAGGTGTGAGATCATTTCATGAATACAAGTACATGACTGAGCAGTCACTGAAGTATCATGTTTTAATTACAGGTGCTGACTACAAACTTGGAAAGCACAAGTTGCATTTTAAACATTTCTATAAAGTGCAAGTTGTCCACTTTTTATCACAGCCTTGAAGCACTAGCTTCAAGGCAAAGGTAAAAGGTAAAGGACCCTTGGACTGTTAAGACTAGTCAAATTCGACTATGGGGTGCTGCGCTCATTTCCGCTTTCAGGCCGAGGGAGCCAGTGTTTGTCTGCAGACAGCTTTCCAGTTATGGGGCCAGCATGACTAAACCGCTACTGGCAAAACGGGACGCTGTGACGGAACCCAGAGTGCACAGAAATGCTGTGGTAGCCACAGAAAAAAGGTCACAGAAAAAAAGAAATGTCATGCAATAAGTGAGTGAGTGTGCTTGTGAAGTGTCAGAGCAAGCAAGGAGGTATCTTTTTGCAGGCTGGTTACTTCTGCTGAATTATTTGCAACGCTGTTTTCTCATTTACATCACAATTGATCGTCCCCTGAGGAAGAGTGCCCCCAGTGCATTAAAGCACTGATAACTTATAGTCATCATAATACAATCCCTGAACAGAACTTTGTTTTTGCAGGTACGGCAGCTGAGCCACACTGCAGGAAACATGCAGTGAAACAGGTGATCCTAAGGAGACTGGAGCTCTATGTTGCCTAAACGGGAGGTTACCAGAGCACTTGCAATTGATGCTAAGCTATCTCCATCCGGGTTAAGGTCCCAGGTGGAACAAATATTTAGTGAGGTGGGACAAAGGGCTCTGCACAGCAGAGAAAGCTCCCCAGTCCATTAAAAAGGGCTGAATTTTCAATTATGTAAATAATTTGTCAGTTAATTTAAATGATTTATTATAGACAACGCTAACTGGATTTCCTCCCCCTAGGTCCAAGGCATATTGAAGCTTCCCACCCCTCGTCAGCTCCTCCAAGCTCAACCAGAACTTGATGCAGGACTCAGACCCAGTGTTTGTTTTCCAGCACCACAAGATGAACTGAATTCTGCATGACCATCTACCCTCCCCTTTCCTCCTTATCAGCCCAGCAATACATTTTAAGACTGTAAGCTCCTTGGGGCAGGACCTCTCTCTCTCATATCCACTTTTTATAACGGACGCTCTGTGATCTTTGGATGAATGGTTCAAAAATATATTAAATAAAAATCATGGCATTGTAAGAAATATGTGAAGCAACAAAGTGGGGAATGGAGGAATTTACATTACACTTTTTACATACTTGTACTTGTGTGATATACATAAAGTTGTTGACCCAGTGTGCAGTGGTCATGGAAACGGCAAATTCCATGCTAGGAATAGGAAAAGAACTGAAAATAAGACTGCCAATATCATAATACTGTTATAAAAATTTATAGTGCAGACTTAATTGAAGCTTTGTCCCCCTAAGCTCAGAAAGGCTACTGTAAGGTTGGAAAAGAACCAGAAAAGGGCTGCCAAAATGATCAAGGGGATGGAGCAACTAACCTATGAAGAAAGGTTTCTTACTTTTCAGCTTAGAAAGGTGAGCAAGAGGCAACAGGATAGAAGCTTATAAAACTATGCATGGCATGGACACAGCAGACAGAGAAAAAAACGGTTTTCTCCCCTCTCTTGTGACACTCAAACTCGCAGGTATCCAGGGAAGCAGAGTGTAGGAAGGTTCAGGACAGATTTTTAAAAGCACTTCACTAAAGTTAAACTTAGTGATGTATGGAAGTGAGAGCTGGTCCATAAAGAAGGCTGATCGCCGAAGAATGGATGCTTTTGAATTATGGTGCTGGAGGAGACTCTTGAGAGTCCCATGGACTGCAAGAAGATCAAATCTATCTATTCTGAAGGAAATCAGCCTTGAGTGCTCACTGGAAGGACAGATCCTGAAGGTGAGGCTCCAATACTTTGGCCACCTCATGAGAAGAGAAGACTCTCTTTAGACTCTTTTTCTTTCTCCCCACAAGTCCTGAAAGGGTCAGGGGGCATTTCCAAGGGCAATACTCCTCAGAAGGCCACAGTCCAACAAACAAACAGGCAAATATTCCCTCAGGAATTCCCCATGAGGATTCAAAAGGGCTTTGTTCTAAGGGAAGACCCCTTATCAATGTGGAAGCATTTATAAAAGCAGTTAACTCTTCTACATCGCTGCAGTTTATTTATTATAGAATTATGTCATGAGTCTGTGAGGACTTTGAAGACTTTCCCTGGAGGATGAGTTGAGTTACTGGGTGGATGAAACTGAAAGATGGGCTTATCCCTTATCAATTTTCATGAGGCTTTGACCATAGCCTCTTAAGAAGACATATCTGCCTGTGTTTTATCAGGTTTTCAATTAATTGGCAAAAGGAACTCCTGAATTATGCAGCTTTAGAAGAGTTTAGTTTTCTGTAGAAAAGTGTAACTTGGCTAAGGCTTGCAGATGGTGCTAGCCTGTTTTTCTGCCAACATGTCACCAGTCCAGAATTAAATTACATGTTTACCTGTAAGCTGGAGGAGACTCTTGAGAGTCCCATGGACTGCAAGAAGATCAAACCTCTCCATTCTGAAGGAAATCAGCCCTGAGTGCTCACTGGAAGGACAGATCCTGAAGCTGAGGCTCCAAGACTTTGGCCACCTCATGAGAAGACTCCCTGGAAAAGACCCTGATGTTGGGAAAGATGGAGGGCACAAGGAGAAGGGGACGACAGAGGACGAGATGGTTGAACAGTGTTCTCGAAGCTACCAGCATGAATTTGACCAAACTGCGGGAGGCAGTGGAAGACAGGAGGGCCTGGCGTGCTCCGGTCCATGGGGCCACGAAGAGTCGGACACAACTAAACAACAAAAAAGTTAAACTGTGGTACCCACTGCCACAGGGGGCAGGGCTGGCCACCAAACTGGAAGCCTTTTAAAGAGAATTAGCTAAATCCATGGAGGAGGGGGTTGTTGAAGGCTGCTAGCCATGATGCTCTCTGCCTCCATGCTTCTGAGTACCAGTTGGTGGAAACCACAGGAGGGCGGCTCTTGGGCTTGGATCCTGCTTGCTGGTTCCCCATAATGGGCATCTGGCCGACCCATAGCTGTCAACCTTCCCTTTTTTTGCGGGAAATTCCCTTATTCCAGCGCCGTTTCCCGCTGCTATCCTGGATAATTAGATATCCCGTAGGCTGTCCCCAGGACAGGTGAGGCTGCTGATTCCTTATTTTCAAATCTGCAAGTTGACAGCTATGGGTCGACCACCGTCAGAACAAGGAGGCTGGAACGAGAGACGGGCCACTGGCCTCATCCTGCAGAGCTCTTCTTACGTCGACAAGGAGGGGCCTCTGAGCATGTGCGAAGTGTTTCCCTCGTGAATGGACCCGAGCATGCGCAGAAGGCGCTTCCCCGCGCCCCCCTTTGAGAAACTCCAGGCAGCTCGGCTGGGGCGTGAGCCCCGGCACCTCTTTCCACCCGCGGCCGCCGAAGAGTAACGGTCGACGGGGCGGGGCAGGCTCACCTGCCCAGGTGAGTCGCTGGAAGGCCGCACGACTTACCTGAGCTACCTCAGCCAAGCCGCCTTCAACGGCTGCTGCTCGCCTTCCTCGTACCACCCCTCCTCCTCCTCCTCCTCCTGCTGTGGTAAAGGCCGCCCCGCGCAGGGCACCCTGGGAAACGCAGTCCTCCTCTCCCCCGCGCGGCGCGGCGGCTTCCGAGGTCGTCTGCCGGCCCAGCACTACAATTCCCAGCGTGCATCGCGCGCGAAGACGCGCATAAACGCACAAGCCCCGCCTCTTAGGCCGACGTGCGCGCCGGGCACCAGAGAGAGAGAGCGGAAATGGAAAGGCTGGAGGACCCAAGATGGCGGCGCTGGCCTCTGGTGCACCTTCCGGCTTCCGGGCATAGAGTTGGGTGTTCCCTCCTCTGTGTGGTTGCCGGAGCCTGGAGTCGCCGGGGTCGCGGGGGCTGAGAGGGAGCCTGGCGGGGCCAGGGAGGCGGGATCTGCGCGAGGCCTACCGTCGTCGAGCTCCCGTAGCCGGTCCAAAGCGTTGCGCCTTTCGTCATTCCAGCCCCCCTTGCGAGCAACCCTGCGAGGTAGGCCACCTGGGGGGGGGGGGGTTGCCGGGTCTCTCGGGGAGGTTTTGGCACAGCCTGACCCCTTCCTTTGGTAGTCCTCACAGAACTCTAGCCCAATGGGTGCCATTAATTTGATTTGGTTTTTTGATTTCAATGCAAAGTTATAACAAAATTTACAAACATTGAGTCCAAAATAATACCATACAAACAAGAAAAAAGAAAGGAAAGAAAACAGAACACGAAAAAAGAAAACAAAAAAGAACAAAGCACACACATCTACAAATAAAACCGTATCATCATTCTAATCTAGTCATTACATACATATACACATATTGACTTCCTTCCTTTGTTCTAAGGCCTCAAAATTGTTACTCTTACTAAATTGTTGTGTCTAATGTAGATTACTTCCATCATTGTACAGTGGTGCCTCGCAAGACGAAATTAATTCGTTCCGCGAGTTTTGTCGTCTTGCGATTTTTTTCGTCTTGCGAAGCACGGTGTCGGGAAAGTTTTGGAAAAGCTTCAAAAATCACCAAAGTCTTTCACCACGTTCTATGAGTTGCTCCTCGAAGTCAAGTCACAACTGTATTAACGGTGTTAAGAAAAAGGAAACAAACTTGCAAGACGTTTCCATCTTGCGAAGCAAGCCCATAGGGAAAATCGTCTTGGGAAGCAGCTCAAAAAACAAAAAACCCTTTCGTCTAGCGAGTTTTTTGTCTTGCGAGGCATTCGTCTTGCGAGGTACCACTGTACTTTTCTACACCATTTTTCTTTTTCTTTAACCCCGCAAAGCATTTTTCTTTAACCCTGTAAAGCAAATAAATAAATAAATAATAATTTGATTTGATTTTGAAATGAATTGATTTTAGAATGCTGTGTTACCTTTATTGTTAGCCGCTCTGAGCTCGGCTTCGGCTGGGGAGGGCGGGATATAAATTTATTATTATCATTATTGGCAGGGGCGGGGCCTGGTGGGGGAAGAGAGCGGCTGTCGCAGGGCCAGCTCAGGGATGGAGCCTCCGTCTCCGAAAGTTTTCAGTCTAGGAAGACAAACATACACAACATAATCACTTCAGGGGAGGGTTTAGATCCTGCTCTCCAGGACGACGCCCCAAAGCAAAGAAAAATGAATAAAGCAAAGCAACCGATTTTAAAGAATTTGCCACACTTTAAAGATTAAAGTGTGTGTAGATAGATAGATAGATAGATAGATAATTTATTACGGTCGGAGACCAGCTTATAAAATACCCTTGCGGGTACAATTCCAGAAGGAAAACAAACATTTAAAACAATGTACAACAATAAATTTATAAATGTGATAGGCGTATCGACACTTAAAACTTTAAGATAAGCTACCGCAGAGAGATGACCCAGAGTCACCCATGGAACCGAGTTTGGGGATTTTCTTAACTAACTAGTTTGGGTTGGGGGATGGTCTGCGCCTACAGATCTGTACACAGAATCTGGTGACCATCCGGGTTGTCTTATGATCTTGGCCTAATAGGAAAAGGATGTTTGTGTATGTATGTATTTTTCCCTGTTCGAAAAGTCCCCCCCCCCAAAAAAATGAAGGTTTTTTTCTCCTTTTAGCCTGCTTTGATCGTGTGACACAAGGGAATGGTGTCTTGCTCTGCTTACATACCTATTGAATGTTGCGGCAGCAGCAGAGGCCCTGGAGAGTGTCAAGAGGTGGCTGGGAGTGCTGTGGTTACTATGGGCTCCATGTTAGGGGCCACAAGGCAGGGATGAGGAAAGCTTTGCTTGCTTCATTTCTACAGTCAGGTTGCCGTTAGAAGCAAAGGAGCGAAACCAGTAAAAGAAAGGTGGCAACGCTGGCTACTCCAGTGAATTGTTTCCTCTGAGCAGAGGCTGTAATTGTGGGGAATACTTTGCTGCAAGTTTGCACTCACTGAAAGTGTGGAATAATGGCTGCCTTGCCTTAAGTGATCTATTGAATAAATTCTAGGGGCTGGTTTTTAATACTGTGGTCTTATTTCTAACCCTTTGTAGCCTTAACGAACCCACCTATGCTGCAGTGAGGTGTGCCTGTTTGATAACAAAGAGGGAATTGCTGGACAGCTGAGAAGATCTTGCTTTGGGCAAGCATCTGGCATTGAGTTTTCCTTCTGCCTGTCAAGCTGAAGATGTGCTGAAGCCCAAAAGAGGGCAGGGACCTCTTCATTCTGCAGCGATGGATGAGGAGAGTTTGGAAGCAGCAATCCAGACCTATAACGCCCAGCTGCAGCAAGTGGAGCTGGCTTTGGGAGCTGTGCCAGACCCAACACAGGAACCTGACCTGATCCAGCTGCAGGCTGATTTAAAGGAGCTGATAGAACTGACAGAATCCAGCCTGGTTTCTGTGAAAAAGAGCAAGCTCTGTGCAACTTTGGACCCAGCGACGCTCTCCACATCTTCGTCCAATCCTCTCCAGCCAGACAGGCCACTGAGCACAGATGATGAATATGCCGCTTTTAAGGAAGCCATTTCTGAAACGGGTGGAGAGGATGAGTCCCCAGATGCTCAAGATGTGGAGCAGGAAGGAGAGGAGGAGGAGGAAGAGGAAGAAGAGGAGGAGGAAGCCAGTGGGATGAAAGTGAAAGCCCCATACTACAGTTCTTGGGGCACCCTTGAGTACCATAATGCCATGATTGTGGGGAGTGAATCTATGGAAGATGGAAGCCGAGGGGTCAGAGTGCTCTATCTCTACCCCACCCACAAATCCTTGAAGCCGTGCCCCTTCTTCCTGGATGACAAGTGTCGGTTTAAAGAGAATTGCCGGTAATTAGGATTCCTCTTGAGTTGGGTAAGGGGTAGGGACGGGGTTCCCAATGGGTCAGGGAAGTCTTCATAATATTCCGCCTCCCCTCCCCCAAGGACCTGGATGCTATGCCAAGCTTGCATTCCCCGTACCCACTTTCATTTTGGGCAGCTTTCTCCAACCTGCTGCCCTCTGCACCAGGATTTCCCAAACTTGGGTCTCCGGTTTTGGACTACAACTCCCATCATCCCTAGCTGGCAGGGCCCAGTGGTCAGGGATGATGGGAACTGTAGTCCAGAAATAGAGGGAAACCCTGCTCTAGATATCTGGTAGTACAGCTCCCGTGAGCCCCAGCCAGCATGATCAGCTGTTAGAGAAATGGGCTGTGGAGGCCACAATACTTGGAAGGCGCTGGGGTCCAATTTTGAGCATCTCTGCAGTTTAATTTTGCAGTATCCTTTGTGCAGCTTGGAAGCATGCAGTTGAGTTGCAGGGAACCTTTCGCCCTCCGATCAGCCCCAGCACAAATGGCCAGGGAAGAAGGCAGCTGTAGTTCATCAACATCTGGTGGGCCAAATGTTTCTCATAGATGGTCCTGAATAAGAATATAAGGAGAGCCCTGCTTGCTCTGACCAACTAGTCTAGCATCCTGTTCCCACAGTGGCCAGTCAGTGGGATGCCTGAAAACAGCACCCGAGTGCAGCAGTCCTCTCCTCGTTTGTGATTCCCAGCAGCTGGCGTTTGTGATTCATTGTCCTTGTGTTGCCCCCCACCCTCCGGCAGATTCTCCCATGGGCAAGTTGTATCTGTGGAGGAGCTGCGCCCCTTTGAGGAGCCCGACCTCAGCTGCCTTGCTGTGGGCTCAGCTTGCCTGGCAAGGCATCAGGATGGGATCTGGTATGCTGCTAAAATCACAGGTGAGTTTGTTTGGCTTTGCACGTTTGCTGTGAGGTTGGAGGGTGGTTTTTGCCTGTTTCTAACTTGACTTATGGGTGCGGCAGGGCTAGGCAAGATACCTGTCTGGCATGAGGGGACCCTAAGACATACCCAAACTATCAGTGGCCCCTCTGATGCAGGAGTTTGCATGATGCACTCTTGCAAAGAAATCCAAACATTAGCTTGCCTGCAAACTTTCAGTTACTACTCCACCCGTAGAAACTAAGCTGCGTTATTCCAAGCTTGTTCATTGGTCCATCTAGCTAGTTTATTTTCTCTGATTGGCAACAGCTTTCCAGGATTTTGGGCACAAGCATATGTTTCTTTCTTTGGGCTTTATACCCACAGACCTTTTTAACTGGAGAACTGGGACCTGAACTACCGTATTTCGTATGTAGTGCACTTGCTCTACCAAAGTGCTTTGCCCAATGTATATGGGGGGGGGCATAGCTGTCAACTTTTCCCTTTTCTTGCGAGGAATCCTATTCGGAATAAGGGAATTGCCCTTAAAAAAGGGGAAATGTTGACAGCTGGGGGGGGGGAGTGGTTAAAAAAAATGCCTCCTGTACTTTAAGGATGCATTTAATGTCATACCTTTTAAAAAGTAAAGGATATTAAAATCGCCCATCAGGAACTGGGGAAACAAAGTCACAATGCTATACCAGTTCATATATACAGTGGATGTATAAATCAATGGACTGTTCAGTCTTGTGCATGTCTATCCAGAAGCAAGGTCCGCTGAGTTCAATGGAGTTTACTCCCAGACCAACGTTGCAGCAAAAGGTATTGATCTGAAACGGTTTCTTGCACACACCTCTTGCTGAGGAGTTGTGAGGGATGCATGTCTTGATATTTGAGCTTTATGGGGGGGGGAGCTTCTCCTAATTGTACATGGGACGCAGGTGGCGCTGTGGTCTAAACCAAAGAGCCTAGGGCTTACCGATCAGAAGGTCAGCAGTTCGATTCCCCGCGATGGGGTGAGCTCCCGTTGCTCGGTCCCTGCTCCTGCCAACCTAGCAGTTTGAAAGCACGTCAGGTGCAAGTAGATAAATAGGTACCACTCCGGTGGAAAGGTAAACGGAATTTCCGTGCGCTGCTCTGGTTCGCCAGAAGCGGCTTAGGCATGCTGGCCACATGACCTGGAAGCTGTACACCGGCTCCCTCAGCCAATAAAGCGAGATGAGCACCACAACCCCAGAGTCGTCCGCGAATGGACCTAATGGTCAGGGGTCCCTTTACCTTTACCCCAGTTGGCGCCTTGAATTGCAGCATAACCGTTTCGCTTTCCCTTCCTCAGACATTGACAGCGGTTACTACACGGTGAAATTTGATTCGCTGCTCCTGAAAGAAGCGGTTGTGGAGGGAGATGGCATTATGCCTCCCCTCCGTGGCGAGGAGAGCTCATCCTCATCGGAATCGGAAGGCGATGAAGTGGATGATGCCGGATATGCCAAAGGTATAAGGCATGGGTAGGCAAACTAAGGCCTGGGGGCCAGATCCAGCCAAATTGCCTTCTAAATCTGGCCCATGGGAATCAGCATTTTTTTACATGAGTAGAACGTGTCCTTCTATTTAAAATGCACCTCTGGGTTATTTGTAGGGCCTGCCTGGTGTTTTTACATGAGTAGAATGGGTGCTTTTGTTTAAAATGCAATTCTGGGTTATTTGTGGGGCATAGGAATTCCTTCATTTCCCCCCAAAAAATATAGTCCGGCCCCCCACAAGGTCTGAGGGACAGTAGACTGGCCCCTTGCTGAAAAGTTTTGCTGAACCCTGGTATGAGGTGTGGGCATTCAAGCCTCACAGGGCTTCGGGGGGGCGGCTTCCCTTTTTGCTCTGAACATCTGCTTTCACTTAGTGTAACTGCACTCTTTAATCTCTCGGGGAAAAGATTGTCTCCATCATCTTGAGCCCGCTACTTGTGGCCGTGTTGAAATGCTGGAGATTCGCGCGCTGTTTTTATCTGCTGTTGGGTTGAAATCACGACAGACGAATGGTGGGTGTCAAAGGAGAGGCGTCTGCCCGGGGCAAGTCCCGGGAACTCTCTTTTATTGAATATTACAAACATTGCCACAGGTGTGCTTGTGGCTGATTGGCTGATACAAACACAAAGCATCTTGTTGCTGATTGGTTAACATAGGTACAAGGCGGAAATAACATATTACATTAATCACTGATAGTTCAAAAGACTGGGAACGGAGCTGGAACTAGACAGGCATGAAACCTCCTAATTAAATTATAACTAAAGATTGATATTGAGAGAACATAACATGAAGGAATACAACAATCACGTTCCGTAAATGTGGTCAGCAATGCATTAAGAACAGGTCAGGATACACTGTTTCATGAACTCAATGGGAACTGTTCAGAACATTCTCAGACTCTTGTGCAGAAGCAGAGAAAAGATTATGAGCGAGACTTCCCAGAATGCAAGAGGAAAGAAGCTAATAGTTCTCATAGCAAGATTTCATAGTAAGACTTCCCACAATGCCACATTATGTGCAGTAAGAGAACTGCAGAAAGAGAACTTCACAGTGAGAGAACTGCAGAAAGAAAAACTTCCCTTCAATCTGCAAAGTGGCTCGCTTTAGTCAAGGTCACCTTGCCCTCAAAAACAGTAAAGGTTTGTTCCGTGCACAGCAAGTCTTTAAAAAAAAGAACCAAAGCAATCGCGGGAGCAAACGGACCCCAGGAAATTTGATTCCTCCGGAGTTGTGGCTGTGAAGAAATGGCAAATGGAGTTCAATGACCATTGGAATGTAGTGCCGTATCTGCGCTGTAAACTTAGAGGAACTTTAACAATGCATATGCCCCAAAGATACCAGGAAACTGTGGTTTTATGAAGAGGCCAAAAATGCTCTGCCAGCACTCTCATAGAAATAAGTTTGCAAGGGGAAGGAAATATTGTTAAAAGGGGGAATAAAGGAAGCTGCCTTTGCTCCTCTAGCTGAGCGACTCTCTAGGATTTCAGAGTTAAGTGTTTTCCCAGTCTTACTAGGCATTGAACCTGGGATCTCCTGCATGTAAATTGAAGCGTAAGTGACAGGCAGTAATATAAAAGCTCTCTGCAAGCTGGCAGCTGCTTTAAGTGGCCAGAAAGCCAAACCACATACATGTAATCATAAATGCAATTTATGTAAGGAGCTTAAGGTGGAATACATGGTTCTCTTCCCCATTTTATTCCCCAAACAGCCCTGTTGGGTGGGCTGAGAGGATGTGACTGGCCCAAGGTCACCCAGTGAGGTTCGTGGCTGAGTGAGGATTTGAACCCTAGTCTCCCAGGTCCTAATCTGACATCCTCCTTACTACACCACCCTGGCTGGAATGATTAGGGCATTTAACAAACTCTAGTCCTCAAGGCAGCCAGAAGTTGAGAGAGAAGCCGGTTGTTCTTCCTGCTTCCAAGATTCTGCATTAGGCATCCCACCCTGCTTGGTTTTGCCAGTGTTGCTGCCCTTCCCCACTTAAACCTTCTCTTGTGCCCTCACAGTTATCGACTCCAGCACCCCTGAGAATGGGGAAGGGCCCTCCTCTTGCAGTTCCTCCTTCGGCAGCTGGGAGGCGCATACGCGTGGCATCGGCTCCAAACTCCTTGCTCAGATGGGGTATGAGTTTGGCAAAGGTAAGCATTTGCATGTGCGCAAAAGGTGGTTGTCTCTGCAACTTATCCAAGTAATTTCTCTGCTTGTGCCAATAATAATAATAATAATATTAATAATAATAATAATACGGTGGTACCTTGGTTTATGAACTTAATCCGTTACAGAAGTCTGTTCTTAAACCAAAGCGTTCTTAAACCAAGGCATTCTTTCCCATAGCAGCGGGGGACTCAATTTACAAATGGAACACACTCAACAGGAAGCGGAACATGTTTTGCTTCCAAGCAAAGTTCACCAACCAAGACACCTACTTCCGGGTTTGCAGCGTTTTTAATCCAAGTTGTTCATAAACTAAGCTGTTCTTAAACCAATGTACCACTGTAGTAGTAGTAGTAGTAGTAGTAATTGTATTACTTATACCCTGCCCATCTGGCCAGGCCTCCCCAGCCACTCTGGGCAGCTCCCAACAGAACACTAAAAACACGATAAAACATCAAACATTAAAAACTTCCCTAAACAGGGCTGCCTTCAGATGTCTTCTAAAAGTCAGAGAGTTGTTTATTTCCTTGACATCTGATGGGAGGGCATTCCACAGGGCGAGCGCCACTACTGAGAAGGCCCTCTGCCTAGTTCCCTATAACCTCACTTCTCACAAGGAGGGAACTGCCAGAAGGCCCTCTGAGCCAGACCTCAGTGTCCGGGCTGAATGATGGGGGTGGAGACACTCCTTTAAGTATACTGGGCCGAGGCCATTTAGGGCTTTGAAGATCAGCACCAACACTTTGAATTGTGCTTGGAAACGTACCGTATTTTTCGCCCTATAGGACGCACCGGCCCATAGGACGCACCTAATTTTTTGGGGGGGGAATTTATTTTCCCCCCCAGGCGCTTGCGGGGCTGGCGGCAGGGAGAAGCGGGCTTCTCCCCGCTGCCAGCCTCCAAAGGACGTCTGGAGACAGCGGGATGGCGCGCTGCGCCTCCCTGCTATCCCCCCAGCTTGTGGGGCTGGCGGTGGGGCTCTGCTGAAGCCTGAAGAGTGAGAGGGGTCGGTGCGCACCGACCTCTCTCGCTCTCCAGGCTTCAGCGAAAGCCTGCATTCGCCCCATAGGACGCACACACATTTCCGCTTCATTTTTGGAGGGGGAAAAGTGCGTCCTATAGGGCGAAAAATACGGTACTGGGAGTCAATGTAGGTCTTTCAGGACCGGTGTTACATGGTCTCAGCAACTGCTCCCTGTCACCAGTTTAGCTGCCGCATTCCGGATTAGTTGTTGTTTCCGGGTCACCTTCAAAGGTGGCCCCACATAGAGCGCATTGCAGTAGTCCAAGTGGGAGATAACCAGAGCATGCACCACTCTGACGAGACAGTCTGTGGGCAGAGAGGGTCTCAACCTGCGTACCAGATGGAGCTGGTAGGCAGCTGCCCTGGACGCAGAATTGACCTGCGCCTCCATGGACAGCTGTGAGTCCAAAATGACTCCCAGTAGGGATGCCTGATGCGAACTAATGACTAGGAGTAGCTAATGAGTAGGATGCCTGATGCAAGCTAATGACTTCCTAAAAATCACTGCAAACCGCCCCCCCCCCATATGACCTGGGTTACTGTGCGTAATAGAAACCTGGTGGACAAGCAGCAGCAAGGACAGGCCCATCTGCTTGATCCATCCAAGTGTCTCTTACACATGCCAGGTCAAGTCCTCCATCCATGACTCTCCTCCTGCTTCAGGTTTGGGGAAGAATTCGGAGGGCAGAGTGGAGCCGGTCTTAGCAGTTGTGCTGCCCAAAGGCAAGTCCTTGGACGAGTGTGCTGAGATCCTCCAGAAGAAAAGGGAGGGGAAGATTGATCCAGCCAAGCCCAGAAAACGGAGGGCGAAAGGCAACCGAGCCGCCCGGCCTCCCCGGCAGGACCCAAAGCCCTCCCGAAATGTCTTTGACTTCCTGAATGAGAAGCTTCAGGGCCAGGACCTCGGTGAGCAGGAGGCAGGGCTTGCTCCCCTAGAGAGGAGCAGCAAGGAGATCTACCACGCCAGCAAGAGCACGAAGAAGGCTCTGAGCGTCCGCCTCTTCCAGACAGTGGAGAAAATCGACCAAACCCAGAAGGAGATCCGCGGGATCCAGGAAGCCCTGGCACGCAACATCGGGAGGTAATGAGACCTTTCGATTCTGCATGTGGCATCTGATCTAGAATTGAGACCGTGGGTTTTGGCTTCCCAATATTTATGGCTTAGCTGGAAATATTTCAGTAGCGCTGGCTGGGGCTGGTGGGAGTTGTCGTCCGAAACATCCGGAAGAGCTCCAGGCTCTTGCCTCACGGAATCATAGAACTATAGAGTCAGAAGGGACCCCCAAGGGCCTTCTAGTCCAGCCCCCTGCAATGCAGGAATCTCAGCTAAAGCATCCAGGACAGATGGCCACCCAACCTCTGCTTAGAAACCCCTAAGGCAGGAGAGTCCATATTTCCCCGAGGGAGAGCATTCCACTGTCAAACAGCTCTTCCTGTCAGAAAGTTCTTCCTGATGCTTAGTCAGAATCTCCTTTTGTGTAACTTGAAGCCATTGGTTCGAGTCCTACGCCCTATCTGAAGTCCAGGCAGGTTTCCAAAGAGGGAAATCCACATTGGACCAGTGCTTTGTGATGAACTTTCTGCTATGTAAATACTGTGCATCCATAATTTGAAGCAAAAATTATATGTCGCTTTTATCGACCTAAAGTCGATACGGTCCCAAGGCAAAAATTGGAAAAGACAAATATAGACCTCCGTCTATTATTTCTCATCAAAACATTATACACTGACACATCGATACAAGTAAAGGTGGAACTGGCCATCTCACCACTAGAATTAAGACCATTACTGGAGTCAAACAGGGAGGCATTTTGGCACCTTTCCTGTTTAATTTATATATTAATGACATGGTTAAAGAAATGGAGGGCCTATAGTTTGCCCCTGTCACAATTCTCGACCAAAAACTCTCAGTCTTAATGTATGCTGATGACCTAGTACTTGTATCTAGAACCCAGGTGGGCCTGAAATTAAGTTCATATTGCACGAGGAATGCTTTATCTACAAACTTGAGATATTTGAAGATGGCTATTATAGCTCCCCTCTTTTCCAGCCTGAACATACCCAGCTCCTTCAACTGTTCCTCATTAGGCTTGGCTTCCAGACCCTTGATTATCTTGGTTGCCCTCCTCTGCTGACCTTCCAGCTTGTCAGTATCGTTAAATTGTGGTGCCCAGAAATTGGTTTGATGGAGGGATGGAGGGGGATAGAGTAGGCACCTCCCTGTGCATGTTCCGTTTCTCAGGACATCCTTCTAATTCTCTGGGTTTGGGGCTTTCAGGCACACGGTTGCCGCAGCTCAGCTGGAGGAGAAGCTTGCCGGAGCCCACAAGAGACTGAGCGAGCTGCGGGCTCAGGAGGCCAGTCTCCAGCGAGAGCAGAAGAAAGCCAACACGCACAAGAAAATGACTGAGTTCTAGCCTGTCCTCTTCTCTCCCGCCCTTTGTCAGGCCGGGCCATTTTCACTGGTCTGGAAGCAGCCATGCTGTTCTACAAGTGTGCAAGGAGTTAGACCTTGCTATCTCTTGAGCTGGCAGACAGGCCAGTCCTGCTCTTCCTTCGTCCTGGCTGCACAGCAGGGCTGAAAGGCAGGTGCTGAGAATGAGGTGGGTGGCCTAGAGCCATGGACACCTGAATGCAAAGGTAGCCAGCGTGGGGTATTCTAGGTGTCTCTGGGCTCGAGCTCCTATCATCCCTGACAGGGCCTGATGAGTGTTGGCCATGTCACTGCCTCTCTTTTGTTATGCATAATTGGCTTTCTAAAGAGAAAAACTACAAGGTGATTCACCTACATGGAGCTGCAGAGAACGTTAATCAGGCATGGGAGCCGCTAGCAGATTCCTGCTCTTCTCCTGGCCATTTCCTTGTCTGTCGCCAGCTCTCTCCCTCCCAGGATTTCTTGGCAACTTCTTGGTGGTGGGTGATCTCCCCACCCAACTCGCAACAGAGAAAAGCACCACGAGAAGAAGGAAGAGATAAGGTGGTTCTCTAGCACCCGTGCGGTCCTCCTGACTTGGTGGAAGGAGCTGCTGCAGTCTCGTGCGCGGCATCCGCACCAGTCGGGTGCTAGAAGTGTGGTAGCGTTGCCTCCCTGTGCAACTCCTGGGCAGGGAGGGTTTAACAGCCATGTGAAAAGAAGCTTGGAGGAAGGCTGGCCGTTCTCGCTGGCCCACACGAGCAGCAGTTCAGTTCTTTGAGGATTCTTGGCCTATAGTCCCTGTGCTCTCTCCCATCAAATTGCCAGGAAGGTTGAAGGCAGAACCGCTTCCCGTAGGTTCTCCTTAAATCAGAGATGGGGAACTCTGCGGCCGTCCCCATGTTGTTGGGACTCTCGTTCCCATCATCCTTGACCACTGGCTGCGGCTGATGGGAGCTGGAGTCCCAACAACATGGGGACAGCCATGTGCTTTGCAGCCACGTGCTGTGCTGTGCTGGTCACGTGTGGCCTCCAGGCGCATGCTCAGCCTGCATTGCCGCGCTCCCAAATCTAGCCTGAAATCCTACGGGCGGGGTGGAGGAAGGAGTGCAAGAGGCTTTCAGGTGAACTCTTTGCCCCCGAACAACAACCATCAGGTGGTGAGAAGGGGGTGCAACCCCCTTCTGAAGCATTTGCCTTCCATCAGAACTGACAGCGGAGCAGAGAAAAGCCGCTATCATTCTTGCTCACTCCTGCAGCCCCGCAGGAGAGATAGCATCAGAGAAGTGGGTAAACTGTTTGGTCTCAGGAAGAATGCTCTGCTGAGGAGAAGAGCAGTGGTGGGTTCTCCGTTTCAGGGCAGGCTTAGACATCTGTGTAGCTTCCTGTGCATGTTTCCTTTCAGGTTTGTAAAGATTATTTTGAGTTAAAAGAACAATTGTCATGCTGACTCCTTTGCTTTCTGGGTCTTGGGAGTTTCCTTTCTGGGTCCTGGGACTTTTTACGTAGCTCAGGTTCTAGTGTGTGCGCTTTTGCATGTATGATAGACGGTGCATCTTCGTTTGCAGTCGGGTTTGCAAAATATAATTCGCCAGCAAGGAAGTGGTCTGGTTTTCTTCAGCTGTGCCTGAGCCATCTAACAGAGATAAATCTACCCTGTAAAAAGCACTGGGGGCCAGAAGAAGAGCAGCCACTCGGTTTAAATTCCTGTTACATCCCTCCCCCCACACCCTTGAATTTTGTTAGAAAGGCATCTTGTTCTCCTTCCATTTCCCATTTCTAAAGGAGCAATCTTTGGCGATCACTCATAGCCGAGTAAGATTGTCTTCCATAAACACAGTTTTAACAATGAGCCCGTAAGTGACTGTGGTAGCCAATTCTGGATCCACACGTCCTTCCACAGTGGGAACATTGGTTTCAGGGCGGGAGTTGATCATGGTGTGGATTTGCCAAGCGTGCCTTCCTCTTAGCACATTTCTCCCTTGTGTCCTGAGTTCGAGCATCTTCAAAGCCCATGACACCTTTGGTAAAGTAAAGGAGGAATAGTGACATAGAGACAAAGGTAAGGAAGTCTCTCCTAATCTCTGCCCATTAAATGTGCTGTATTTGTGCTAAGTGCCAAATCCCACCCTGCTGGGTGCAATATGTTCAGCCCTCTGTTTAAAACAGGATGGGATGTTATCCTCACTTAGTCTGAAAAAGCTGCTACTTTGCTAGATTGACTGGGTCTTGTCAGGTTCTTCAACACGCCGGCGTTCTTGTTTAAGGCTGCAATGCTTGTTTTGCTTTTTTGAAAAAATAATAATCTAGGACTAAGAACCACTGAATCCAGTGGTGCTTATTCTAAGTAAATGTACTCAGGATTGGGCAGTACAGATATGCACATGACAGCAGGTTCTACTTCCGGGTCCACGTAAATCACAGGGCACATGCTGTGCCTGAAGTGTCATGGAAGGTTGGAAGCACCAGCTTCTCCTGCTCTTAAATGCTGAGCAGGTTTCTAGTTCTCATGAGGAAGCTCCCAGTTGGGGAATGGAAGCAAGAGTCCTGATTCCCCAGGTTTTGTGCAAGTCGTAATTCACTCCTGAGACCACCCTCGCTTGCTACCCTTAGTAAGTGGGAACTAAAGGTTACTTTGTCCGTCTGTGAGTTATCTATTCCTTACAAAAAGAAGAACTGAGATCTGGAAAGGAACCTCATATTTTGCATCCACAATAAAGTAAAGGCTACATTTATGTGTGGTAGATAACATATTTTAAAGGGTGGTTGGTGATTCTCTGATAATACTTGGGAAAGGTTTTCATATGGGAGACTTCTCCTTCCCACCGAATAATACTGGGCCCCTCGTTGGCCCCAGAAAGCATGGGAAATAATCTGCTCTTCCTCTGGCCTGAAATAGGATGAGGTTACTTGCACAGAGCTCTTAATTTAACTCATGGTTGCTGGCTCAAACCATGTGTCCACAGAACACAGCATCTTGTTTTTTTATATTATATAATATGTGGCTACCGAGACCAGTACGTTTCCGAGCGCAATTCACAGTGTTGGTTTTGACCTTTAAAGCCCTAAATGGCCTCGGTCCAGGATACCTGAAGGAGCGTCTCCACCCCCATTGTTCTGCCCAGATGCTGAAATCCAGCGCTGAGGGCCTTCTGGCGGTTCCCTCATTGCAAGAAGCAAAGCTACAGGGAACCAGGCAGAGGGCCTTCTCGGTAGTGGCACCTGCCCTGTGGAACACCCTCCCATCAGATGTCAAAGAGATAAACAACTACCTGACATTTAGAAGACATCTGAAGGCAGCCCTGTTCAGGGAAGTTTTTAATGGGTGACATGTTAATGTATTTTTTATCTTTGTTGGAAGCCGCCCAAAGTGGCTGTGGAAACACAACCAGATGGGCAGGGTACAGATAATAAATTATTATTATTATTGGCCAGCCGCTTCTGGGAAGCACATAGGCAAGGTGGGAAGGAACAACATCCCGCCCCTCACAGCAGCTGACTTTCAGCCATACACTGCGGCTGCACATGGAAGTTCCATTCAGCTACCTCGGCCCTTGATAAACCTACCCTCCAAGGGGATGAGGCCCTGCTGAGATGTTCCACAAGGGGGTGGGGAGCGGAGCACACTTCTGGTCGCATTTACCTGCCGCTGGTACTTTTGCTTTTCATTTTTTTTGGTTTTGAAAAGCAGCGTGCAGTTGGGTGATGCGGGCAGGAAGCAGGCTCTGCCACAGGGCGCATGTGGCCTCCGCTCAGAGGCAGCCACCCACCCTGGGAAAGTCAGCCGTGCGACCGAGCTGCCTGCAGCCACCCAGAAAGCTGGGACCTGACCTTTTATTCTAGAAGACGGTGAGGCCAAGCCGAAAGATCAAGGGATTCCAATCGCTGGGGCCGATTGCAGAGATGCTCTTTGCCCGCCTCTGTTCCCCTCACTGCTAAAGTAAGTAACCTTCACGAGTAACCTGGACTGTGGCGGTTCTCCGCGCCTCTAAAAGTTGTCTTAAGGCTGCAATCCTGGGCACGCTTGGCTTGGGATGAGCATCCCAGAGGAGATTATTTGCAAGGAAATGTGCTGAAATTCTCCTGCCCCAAGCACCCGTCCATTTAGGGGCCAGGCAACGCATTGAGCACGTTCCGTTTTCAGAGGTGGCTCTCTGCTTTGTAATCTGGACTTGGCAGCAGAGGGAGTGAAAGGCTCAGGCGTTTGAGGAGAGCCAGTGTGGTGTATCAGAGTGCCAGTCTAGGACCTGGGAGACCAGGGTTCAAATCTCCACTCAGCCGTGAAGCTCAGTGGGTGACCTTTGGGGGGCTGGTGCCTGCCTCTCAGCCTAGCCTACCTCACAGGGTTGTGGGGAGCAAATGAGGAGGGCAGGAGCTATGTCGCCATCTTGCGTTCCTTGTTGGGGGGATATAAATGCCATAAATACATCTATGTCCAAATTGGCGGCCATGTTTTAGAGCATCCTCCAACATCCCCCAGATGTTTGGGGCTTTCAGTGCTTTCCAGTCCCAGCCCTGACAACCCCGTGACTGAGGGTGACAGGAGTTGTAGTCCGAAAACATCTGGAGGGAACCAGGTTGACGAGAGCTGCTTTAGAGCGAGAGAGGCGCCCTAAATTTATGCTCTTTGAAGCTTTAAATCCTGCGGTGAGACTAAAAGGAAGGGAAGAATCACATATGTCCCATTAGCTTTTTTATAAGAAGGGAGGGAATATCGTAGAACTATAGAATTATAGTTGGAAGGGATCACAAGGCTCATCTAGTCCAACCTGCAATGCAGGACTCTCACCCAGTGCTGGGCTCGAACCCACAGCCTTGCGATTAAGCCCTAAACGGCCTTGGTCCAGTATACCTGAAGGAGCATCTCCACCCCCATCGTTCTGCCCGGACCTTGAGATCCAGCTCCGAGGGCCTTCTGGTGGCTCCCTCACTGCGAGAAGCCAAGTTACAGGAAACCAGGCAGAGGGCCTTCTCGGTAGTGGCACCCACCTTGTGGAATGCCCTCCCACCAGATGTCAAAGAGAACAACAACTACCAGACTTTTAGAAGACATCTGAAGGCAGCCCTCTTTAGGGAAGCTTTTAATGTTCAATAGACTATTGTATTTTAATATTTTGTTGGAAGCTGCCGAGAGTGGCTGGGGAAACCCAGCCAAATAGGTGGGGTATAAATAATAAATTATTATTATTATAAGAGCCTTGTGCTCTACCGACTGAGCTATCACACAATTCCGATCAATAAATGTTTATTGATCTTGAGTCTCTATGGACGAGAGTTTGGATTATCCAGTCTGTTTTAATGTCAGAATTGTAGAGTTAGAAGGGATTCAATGAGTTATCTAGTCCAACCCCAGCATCTTCATGAGGGGCAGCGACTGTGACTTCGTTTAGTTAGGAGGAGATGAGTCGATGGGAGGCTTGTGTTGGGACCATGAGCTGCTTCAGGCACCAGTTTGGGGGCATCAACATCCTGCGATGCTAGCCCTCTAACTACATTTTTAAAATTCATTTGACTTCATCTCCCTTTCCTTTTACAAAAGTATTTTCTGAGCTGCTGACAGCAACAAAAAAGCAAGGTCAAGAAAATAAAAAATACGTGGTGTTCACTTTTAAAAAGGCTTCCCAGTGGTTTTCAAAGTGTAAAAACCAGTTACACAAACTTTAAATAATAGAAGCGTCTGCAATTAAAATATACAGTAAGACAATCCCTGTAAAACACAGCAATTAAAACACGAGACTCTGGTTGAGAGAGCAAGGGAATTTCCGTAAGCAGGTAAGTCTTCAAAACCCAACCCATCAAAACGCCCAAACCGATGGAGCAGGGGTTGCATTTTGTAACGCTGGGGCAAACAATGAAAAATTCCGCCTCTGTGTCACCGCAAGCTGATAAGCATCAGGCTGTGGCAAGACTGGGTTTATTTTAGGTAACAGGGCCCAGGTTAGTTATGGCAGTGGTTTTCAACCTGTGTGCCATGGCACCTTGGGGTTCCTTGAATGATGGCCAGGGGTGCCACAGACAACACTGGCCTCTGTCCCTCTTTCCTTCCCTCCTTCCTCTGATGCCCTCTCGCATCTCTGCCTCCCAAAGGCTTGCACAGCTGTTTGCTGCAGCAGCCCTGGCTGCAAACTCCCCAGGCGAATGGTGCCTTTGGGGCTGGCCAGGGGGTGCTGGTTGCCAGGAGCTGAGGCAGCCTCGGAATAAGCAAGCAAGCGGGTGAGGGAGCCCAGCCGGCCAGCCCTTGCTGCTGGGAATGGACAAAACAACAACAAACCTCTGGTTACGTGAAACTTATTCAATAAACACACAAGACGTAACTGGCTGTACGTTTGAAAAAAATAATATACCGTATTTTTTGCTCTATAAGACTCACTTTTTCCCTCCTAAAAAGTAAGGGGAAATGTGTGTGCGTCTTATGGAGCGAATGCAGGCTGCGCAGCTATCACAGAAGCCAGAACAGCAAGAGGGATTGCTGCTTTCTTCCTTGTTTTCCTCCTCCAAAAACTAGGTGCGTCTTGTGGTCTGGTGCGTCTTATAGAGCGAAAAATACGGCATACTATTCATTGTATTGAATTGTAGATTTCAACAAAAGTAGGTCATAAAGTTCAACGGAAAAAGCAGAAGACCCAGTGGATCAGTTCATTCTCTAATTAGTTTATGTATAAGGGAAAAAGTCTATTCCACCTGTCTGCTCATAGAGTCCAACAATCCGTACGAAGGGTTGTTGCAGTTCCACAGAATCCTTTCACAGAGTCTAAGACAAGGATTTCCGGAATATTAGCCTTGTTTCGCCGTCCTAGGCTTCATCAGTAGTACAAACTCATATATGATATCACAGGACAGTGGATCTTATAGCATAGTACAGTGGTACCTCGGGTTAAGTACTTAATTTGTTCCGGAGGTCCGTTTTTAACCTGAAACTGTTCTTAACCTAAAGCACCACTTTAGCTAATGGGGCCTCCTGCTGTTGCTGCGCCGCCAGAGCACGATTTCTGTTCTCATCCTGAAGCAAAGTTCTTAACCCGAGGTACTATTTCTGGGTTAGTGGAGTCTGTAACCTGAAGCATCTGTAACCTGAAGCGTCTGTAACCTGAGGTACCACTGCAGTGCTTTTGGGGGAGGAACTTAGGGTGGAGATCATAAGCTTTCTTTGGCCCCATCCACGGTTGTTTGCTTTATTACCCTGCTGTGATGGGATGGTCAAGGGCCTGCTTTGCTTCCAAAGGGAGGCCAAAACCTGGAGAAAAACTCAGCGTTCTCTCTGCCACAACTGAGGGAAGCAAGCTAGGTCAGGGAGCAGAAGGTAACCCAGACAGGGCACATACAGCTCCGTCTTCACACAACTCCCTGTCCCCCAGTTTTTGCCACCCGAGGTAGCCCCTTCACTCCACCCAATGATAGAGCCGGCCCTGGTGTGTGGAGGAGCTGCAGTAAAGAACAAGCAGCAGGGAGCTATTTGCCCTATTTTTGGACTTGTCCTAAAATTAGAATATAGAGTGGTACCTCGGGTTAAGTACTTAATTCGTTCCAGAGGTCCGTACTTAACCTGAAACTGTTCTTAACCTGAAGCACCACTTTAGCTAATGGGGCCTCCCGCTGCCGCCACACAATTTCTGTTCTCATCCTGAAGCAAAGTTCTTAACCCGAGGTACTATTTCTGGGTTAGCAGAGTCTGTAACCTGAAGCCTATGTAACCTGAAGCGTATGTAACCCAAGGTACCACTGTAGTAGCTATAACTTTATGAGCTACTTCTGTTGAAATTCTGTTGTTGTTGTGAATTTTATATTTATACCCTGCCTATCTTACTGGGTTGACCCAGACACTCTGGGAAGCTTCCAACATATATAAAAACATAATAAAACATTAAACATTTTAAAACTTCCCTATAGAGGGCTGCCTTCAGATGGCTTGTGGGGGTCAGATAACTCCATCCCCTCCAACATTTCTCCAATGAAAACAGGGACGCCCTAAAGAAAAGGGGGACATTCAGGGATCAACTAAAAAACCGAGAAGGCTTCTGTGAATCCTGAACCGTCCCTGGAAAACAGGGACAGTTGGAGGGTCCGTAGGACTAGGAAAAGAAAAGAGAAGGAAGAGGCGACATGCTAGAAATTTATGAGGTTATAACTGGCATAATCAAACTGGGGGGCAACTCCCATCTCTTGCGGGGGCGCAATTAGTGCCAGCACCGTCCATTAAGAGTTTGGGTGTAATCTTCGACACCTCCCTTTCCATGGAGGCGCAGATTGCAGCTATAACAAAGGCGGCATTTTTTCATCTGCGCCAAGCTAAGCAGTTGGCTCCTTATCTCTCTCGCTCTGACCTAGCCACTGTGATCCATGCGACGGTCACCTCCAGGCTTGATTACTGTAACTCGCTCTACGTGGGGCTGCCCTTGAGACTGACCCAGAAACTCCAGCGGGTGCAGAATGCCGCGGCGAGGCTCCTTACGGGGTCCTTGTTGCGGGATCACATTCACCCGGTGCTATACCAGCTGCACTGGCTCCCGGTGGAGTACAGGATCAGGTTTAAGGTGCTGGTTTTAACCTTTAAAGCCCTATGTGGCCTAGGACCCTGATACCTATGGGACTGCCTCTCCTGGTATGTCCCACGGAGGACCTTAAGGTCTTCAAACAAAAACATCTTGGAGGTCCCGGGCCACAGGGAGGTTAGGCTGGCCTCAACCAGAGCCAGGGCTTTTTCGGCTGTGGCCCCAATCTGGTGGAACGCTCTGTCACAAGAGACCAGGGCCCTGTGGGACTTGATATCTTTCCGCAGGGCCTGCAAGACGGAGCTGTTCCACCAGGCCTTTGGTCAGGGCACAGCCTGACTCCCTCCTTTGGTAATCCTCACAGAACTTTAGCCTAATGGTTGCCATCAATTTGAGTTGAATTAATTTTAATGAAATGATTTTAGAATGTTGTATTATTTTATTGTTGTTAGCTGCCCTGAGCCCGGCTTCGGCTGGGGAGGGCGGGATATAAATAAAATTTATTATTATTAGTAGTAGTAGTAGTAGTATTACTTGTGGACAGTCAATGAAGCTGAATGTTGCAAGATTCAGGACAGAAAAAATAAAGCCCTTCGTGCAGCACATAGTGAGACTGTGGAACTCCCTTCCACAGGAAGCAGCAATGGCTGCCAATTAAGATAAAAGAGGAGAGGGCTCTCTCGCTCTCTTTTTTTCAATGCAAAATTACAACAAAAATTACAAACATTGAATCCAAAATAAAACAGTACAAACAAGAAGAGAAAAATAACACAAAAGAAAAAAGAACAACACACAAAAACACGCACATTTACAAAGAAAACCATATCATCATTCTAATCTAGTCATTACATACATATACACATATTGACTTCCTTCCTTTGTTCTAAGACCTGGAAATTTTTCCTCTTTCTAAGTTGTTGTGTCTAATGTAGATTACTTCTATTACTTCTATCTTTATACTTTTTACACCATTTTTCTTTTTCTTTAACCCTGCAAAGCTTCGTTCATTACATACCGATATGCTTACTCCAGAACAATGCTTTTTCATATACTCTTTAGCACATCCCCATTCTTTTAACCAGTTTTGGTCCGATTGTCTCCTTATGAATGCTGTGAGTCTTGCCAGATTTATATATTCACAAAATTTAATTTGCCATTCTTTCATGGATGGAATTTTTCCCCCTTTCCCATTTTTTGCTATGAGCGTCCTGGCTGTTAAGTTGTGGGTGAACATATCAGACTACACAGCGATTCTTCAAACAGCTCTTGTTTATTCACAGGCCAGGACAGAACTGAACTGAACTGAAGGGTTCAGTCAGCCTGATTATATAGAGCTCCAGTACAACGTAACTGTAACAGCTTTCTAAAACTATCCAATCACTGAACGTCACTATCGATCCCTTATTTGCATAACTATCTACAGTATCTCCCTGCTGGCCCAGGGTGAGAACTTCAGTACATAACACTGGCAGCTGTTGTTGCATAGAGGAATACTTTCCTTTGATTGCCAGGAATATCGTTTGTGATTTTAGGTATAATCACAAACGAGGAGGAGAGGGTTCTCAATGGCTCTCCTCTGCTCCCACAGTTGGAGGCAGCGATGCTTCTGGACACCGCTTTCTGGAAACCCCAGGAGGGGCGAGAGTGGTCCTGAGTTCGAATCCTGCTTGCGAATTTCCTACAGTCATCTGGTTGGCCTCTGTGAGAACAGGATGCTGGCCCATTGGCCTGATCCAGCCAGCTCCTCTTATGTTCTTATCAGGGGCAGAGCTTGGCAATATGGCGCCCTGTGCATATAAATTAATGATAAAAAATAAGGAAAGGATAAGGACAATTCAGAGTGAATGGGAGCGGGAAGGGCTGTTTCATTTGAATACGGTCCAAGAGATGATGAAGAGTACAGATAAAATAAAAATGGATAAATATAAAGAATTAAGTAGGAAATTCCTATTGAAACGGTATAGAACCTCAGCACAACTGGCATACATAGTTAAAGGATTGAGTCCTAAGTGCTGGCACTGCGGTTAAGAGTTAGGGGTATATGCACATATGTGGTGGGAGTGTATTTGGGTAAAGGAATATTGGCAAAAGATTATAAAGGTTGTATTTCAGGTGATGTATTTCAGGTTAAGACAGAAGTCAATAGAGAAATGCTTATCTCAGGAATACTGGGGAATAGTAAAATAGAAAGAAAAGAGCAAGATTGGTATAAAATTATGATCTTAGCTGGTATGCTTATGATGGAAAGAAAAGAATAAATGGACAATGGAAAAATGGAATGACTATGTTTTTGAATATATGCAATCTGATATATTTGAACAGGTAGTGGCGGAAGATACATGGGAAAACAAATGTCAAAAGATTTTGAATAAATGGACAAGTTATAGGAATTGGATAGCACGGAGGGAAGCCAACTCAAGCATCCAAATAAGAATGAATAATCTGTGCACATGGTTAAAGATCTGAAGAGAGAACAAGTTTTGGGGGGAGGGGTTAAAGGGGAGGGAGGAAGGGGGGAAATTAGGATAAATGAGTAGGGACAAAAGTATATACTGTTATGCATAACTAATAGGAGGAGGATTTTGATGTATGTTATAGTTAGATTTTTTGGGACACAGGTGGATCTGTGGGTTAAACCACAGAGCCTGGGACTTGCCGATCAGAAGGTCGGCGGTTCGAATCCCCGTGACAGGGTGAGCTCCCGTTGCTCGGTCCCTGCTCCTGCCCACCTAGCAGTTCAAAAGCACGTCAAAGTGCAAGTAGATAAATAGGTACCTCTCCGGCGGGAAGGTAAATGCCGTTTCCGTGCGCTGCTCTGGTTCGCCAGAAGCAGCTTAGTCCTGCTGGCCACATGACCTGGAAGCTGTACGCCGGCTCCCTCGGCCAGTAAAGCGAGATGAGCGCCGCAACCCCAGAGTCGGTCACGACTGGACCTAATGGCCAGGGGCCCCTTTACCTTTACTATAGTTAGATTTTAGACTGAATGATTTTTTTGTAAGTTATTCGACTTCCCTGGAGGAAAGTGTGATTAGAAAGAATAATTTATTTATTTTTAAATGGCACCCTGTGCAAGGACAACATTTGGCACCTCTCCTAGTCCTTGTGCCCCCTTTCCAAAACTTGGGAAGGTCGGCACTGGGATTTCGGAAGGAGGCGCAAGGTTTTTGCAGGGATCTGGCACCCTCCTTCCCAAAGCTAGGAACATGATAACTAGGCTTTGGGAAGGTGGCAGGAGGACTCTAGGGTGGAATCTACACACATATAAAAAAACCATTTTGAAAATGCTGTTTCTGTTTTAGCAGTTTTTTTAAAAAAATACATTGACTTTTCCATAAGGCTCCCCATCGCCATCTCGTGTCACATTGTATATTGCACTTAAAACGCACTTAAAACCTTTAATTTGCAGCTGTATAGCCCAGGACTTAACTAGGCTTTAGGACGGAAGCGGGAAGGTGTGTCCTTGGCCCCCACGATGCCCTAAATCCGCCTCTGTTCTTACAGAGAGAGTCATGTTAGGGGGAGCCTGACGGCGAATGTCGCACTCAGCTTCCTGTGTGCCGTTTGACCTTTGAGCACATGAACATAGCAGGTCGTCCTTGTTTGCAACACGGGGAGCAGCAGAGACCACAGCTCAGCGGTGGTTGACAGTTTGGCGATGCAGTGACAGCTCCTTCGGGTTTGCAGGCCCTGTGGCTCAGAGGTACAGGAAACCCATTGCCAACCAGAGTGCAACCTGCAAGAGGCCCGTGATATTTTGCATTCTTCGTTAAGAGCCTGCAGGAAGGAGCCTTTCTTTTTATATATATAAAAAAATTTATTAGCTTTTTAACATATCATTTTCAACAGTAATTAAACATACCTTTACATCTTATACAATTTTTTTTACTTCCATCAATCCTGTCGGAAAATTTTCCAATCTAATCTCTTAATATACATTTCTTACTTTCCCTATTACCTTTAAATCTCATAACTGATATCTCTTTTCTTTTTCTACTTTGCAACATTTCATATTTTTCTCTTTACAGAACTTCCTGTAGTCCTACTAGTGTAATTTGTTGGTTACAGTTGCTCTTCAAATAGTTCGTATACTTCTTCAAATCTTCTGAAAATCTCGGGTCGCACAGGTTTCGAATCCTTCCTGTCATTTTATCCTATTCTGCGTAGTCCATTAACTTTATCTGCCATTCTTCTTTTGTCGGAATTTCTTCTTGCTTCCATTCCTGGGCTAACAACACTCTTGCCACTGTTGTTGCATATAAAAATTGTTAAGTTGTGGGTGAACATATCAGACGACACAGCGATTCTTCAAACAGCTCTTGTTTATTCACAGGCCCAGAACAGAACTGAATTGAAGGGTTCAGCCAGCCTGCTTATATAGAGCTCCACTAGAACGCAACAGTAACCATTTTCTGTAACTATCCAATCACTGAACGTCACTTTCAAACCCTTATTTGCATATGTGGACCTGAACTATCTACAGTATCCCCCTGCTGGCCCAGGGTGAGAACTTCAATACATAACAAAAACAATTTAACATCCTGCCTATTAATGTCCTGACCTAAAATACCAAGTAAAAATGCTTCTGGTTTTTTAAAAAATGTATATTTCAACATCTTTTTCATCTCATTATATATCATTGCCCATAAGTTCTTTACTTTCTTACATTCCCAACAAGAAGGAGCCTTTCAGCTTCCATTGCTGTCCTGAGGATCCAAAACACAACCAGCTTGCTTAAAATCCATTTTGCCTGTGGATTCCACGATTCGATTGCGAGGGCCATCTTTATGGGGGGTAAAACACGAGAACAAAATACAGTGGTACCTCGGGTTAAGAACATAATTCGTTCTGGAGGTCCGTTCTTAACCTGAAACTGTTCTTAACCTGAGACACCACTTTAGCTAATGGGGCCTCCCGCTGCCGCTGCGCAATTTCTGTTCTCATCCTGAAGCAAAGTTCTTAACCCGAGGTACTATTTCTGGGTTAGCAGAGTCTGTAACCTGAAGCGTATGTAACCCGAGGTACCACTGTAGCACAGAAACATAAGAAGAGCTTTGCTGGATCAGGCCAATGGCCCATCTAGCCCCGCGGAGGACCTTAAGGTCTACAAATGACAACACTTTGGAGGTCCCGAGCCTCAAGGAGGTTAGATTGGTCTCAAATAGGGCCAGGGCCTTTTCAGCACTGGCCCCAACTTGGTGGAACACTCTGTCAGAAGAGACTAGAGCCCTGCGGGACTTGACATCTTTCTGCAGGGCCTGCAAGACAGAGCTGTTCTGCCTGGCCTTTGGTTTGGACTCGGTCTGACCCTTATGTTTCCCTCCCCTTATAGTCTTGATTTATCGGCTACTTTAAAATGAGGCTGCATTTTAAATTGCATTTTAACCTGTATTTTAAATTGGTTTTTTCCCTCCCCCCCCCTTCTCTTTTCCCCCTATTATGTTTTTACTGTGATTTTATTGGTGTTAGCCGCCCTGAACCCGGCTCTGGCCGGGGAGGGCGAGGTATAAATAAAATTTATTATTGTTATTATTATTGCAGTACTGAGCCAGATGGACAAATGGTGTGATTCTGTATAAGGCCGAATGAATGAATGAGGCCAACTGCATCCCGGGAGTCTGATGGTCCTTTTTGCTTCCTCTCCTCCACAGCATCCTATGCCAAGAGCGTCTCGCAGGGGAATCCACTGATGGCTCCATCACTGGAGGAAGTGGGGGCTGACGGCTTCTTCCCTTCGTTCCTTTTCGTCTCCCTGGTTGGCCTAACCGCCTGTCTCTTGGCCCTCTGCACACTTTGCAGGAGGTAAGCATCTGAGCTGCTCTCACCCTTAATTGGCAAGTCTTCTCCAGATAGAGTGCCTGGGGCCCCTGGTTCTACCACATCCCATTCATTTCATTCATACAATTTACAAGCCTCTTGATTGAAAAATGAACAAACCTCAAAGCATATAAAAAGAATATAAATTGTCCAGTGGCACTTTAGAGACAAACTAAGTTTGTTCTTGGTATAAGCTTTCGTAACAAAGTTAGTTGGTCTCCAAGGTGCCACTGAACAATTTTATTTATATATACACACACACACACACACACACACACACACACACATATATGTATTTCAACTGGGACATGGGTGGCGCTGTGGGTTAAACCACAGAGCCTAGGGCTTGCCTATTAGAAGGTCGGCGGTTCGAATCCCCGCAATGGGGTGAGCTCCCATTGCTCGGTCCCTGCTCCTGCCAACCTAGCAGTTGGAAAGCATGAAGTACAAGTAGATAAATAGGTACCGCTCTGGTGGGAAGGTAAACGGCATTTCCGTGCACTGCTCTGGTTCGCCAGAAGCGGCTTAGTCATGCTGGCCACATGACCCGGAAGCTGTATGCCGGCTCCCTCAGCCAATAAAGCGAGATGAGCGCCGCAACCCCAGAGTCGGTCACAACTGGACCTAATGGTCAGGGGTCCCTTTACCTTTACCTATTTCTGTGGCTTATTCACAAGATAGTCAACAGCTCATCGTTGCAGGAAAGACAGAGCATTTCCAGTCTATGCATGTGCTAATCTGCAGGCATGTTGGGTTTGGTGCCTTTTTGTTCTAAGGCACTGAAGAGAACAGACGTGTTTGTCTCTGTCTCCAGCAAAAAGTTAAAAGAGGCTGCAGCAGAGAAGGGTTTTTAGCTCAGAATGCAAGTTATTTGTAAACTAAGTTCAACCAATCAATCATTTTTTGTATTTGACTAAAAGCCATTACCAATTCACTTACAAAACCAGCAAATCCAACAAAACCTATTAAGAAAAATCCAGAAACAAATTAAATCAAATTAACTGAGTCCTCTGCATAATCTACAGTGTTGTCTTTTATGCGACTAGCACGGATACTTTTAGCGGCTTTTGCAAATAAAGCTGTTTTATATGTGAAAATATGTAAGCTTAGTTTAGATACCTTATGCTGGGAGCAGTATATGAAATATGCAACTGAGTGAATGTAATTTTATTTGTTTTTCAGTTGAGTTCTGTAAGTGAAGCTTTTTGAACCATATTTTGGGACTGAAGAATTTTCACTTCAATACAAGCGTTTTGTTCACCCAGAAGCTTTTACATGTGCAAAATTAACCATCTCAATATTGGTTGCTTGGAGAGGAGTGTGAAAACTAGAAACTAGCCTGCTATAGAAAGCCAAAATTCACGTCTGTTGCTTCCGTTTCATGCAGTTACCTCTTCCCCAACCCCTATTCACATGTGGCCCTCAGAAAGTTGCCCAAAAGAGACTGTGGCCCCCGGGTTGGATTCCCCACTTCTGCACTAAAGCATTTGAGGATTCCGAGTTCAGAAAAAAGATGCTATTGGGGTGTGTGTGTGGAGGTGTAATGGGGAGACATGAAAATGACAGAAGTTTGCCCAGATGGCAAAAATGACTGCAGCAATCAGGGGCTGCTCCAATAAAAAATTCTACACAGAATGGGAATACATAGGGGAATACATGAAGAAATATGGTGTCAAAGCAGAACCCTTAATAGGCAATTGTTAAACATGTAAGGACAAAAGAAGTACCGTATTTTTCGCTCTATAGGACGCACTTTTCCCCCTCCAAAAATGAAGGTGTGTGTGTCCTATGGAGTGAATGCAGGCTTTCGCTGAAGCCTGGAGAGCGAGAGGGGTCGGTGCGCACCAACCCCTCTCGCTCTCCAGGCTTCAGGAAGCTATCCGCAAGCCTTCGGAGCGCGGCGGGAGTTCCCACCGGGCTCCCAAGGCTTGCGGAATACAGCCTGCAGCCCGAAGCCCGGGGAGCACAGCGCTGCGCACCCCGGGCTTTGGGCAGCTATCCGCAAGCCTTCGGAGCCTGGCGGGCGTTCCCACCGGGCTCAGAAGGCTTGCAGATAGCAACAAGCTCCGGGAGCGAAGGCGAGGTTGCGCGCAACATCAACCCCGCTCCCAGACCCGTTCTGGGGGCTGGGGTCGGGGAAAGCTCGGGCTTCCCCCACCCCAGCCCTGCAGCTAAAAAGGAAGCTAAGACAGCGAGCAGGATCCATCCTGCTTGCTGTCTTGGCTTCTTGGCTCTTTGGGGCTGGGGGGGTAATTTTTTTTTCTTTATTCCCCCCCCCAAAAAAAAACTAGGTGCGCCCTATGGTCCGGTGCACCCTATAGAGCGAAAAATATGGTAATTATAATTTAACAGTTTTCATGTTACTCTATTTTATCAAAGCAACTAGAAAAAATATATTATGACGGGAAGATCTCACACAGGTGAAGGGAAGCAGTGGGGAGGAGGGGAGGGTCAGGTTGAATTTGGGGGGGGAAATAATATATGGGACAGCAAAGGATATAATAGATTCTTATAGAACAGTAATATATTGTAACCAGAATAGAAGTTTAAAAGTAAATGTACTTTTAGTATTTTCATTATTGTAATAGTTATTATTATTTCTTATTGGTAGAAGGCAATGTTAATTTAGGCTTCTTTGTTTCCTGTCTGTATAAATATTTTTTTAAGCCAATAAAAAAAAGAAAAGAAAGAAAATGACAGAAGTTTGTAAGGCTAGCCAAAAAAGGGAGGTTTTTTTAGCAGGTAATGAAAAGGGGATAGAGAGAGCATCTGTGTGGTGTTTAAATGGAGAGAGTTCGAAAGAATCGGTGCCACCACAGAAAAGGCCTGATTCCTACATTGTGTGGAATGGGCCTCCTGATCAGATGGCTACCCAGTCCAGCAAAAATGCGTGGACCTTCTGTACTCCCACCGGCTGACCAGGGTGTTGCTAAACTGACCCGTGAATGATTCGTTCCATCTCTTTTTCTGCCACTCAGGAAAGAGAAGAACAGGGTAATTCCACAAGATGGAGCAATGCTGGAGGAAGCAGTGAGTGGACCTCTTTCCTTTCTACATTTGGTTTCCCAAATACAAGTACATTCTTCGCGCACATGGATGTAGCCAGGATATTTGGGGGGGGGCAGCCAGGACCGAGCAACCTCCGATGCGATTGGTTGGTTTGCAGAAGCCATGCTATTGCTCAGTTGGGTTGCCAGTTGCGTTGCTAGAATGTGCCACAACGTCATCTGAGTGATCTCAGTGAGCATTAAAACATTCTGATCACTTCTACTTTCAGTTAAGTATTTTTATTTATTTACTCGATTGTGTGTGTGTGTGTGTGTGTGTGTGCACCATTTGCTGCAATTCCAGGGATGCGGAGAGCTGCCCACCCAGTGGTGTAGCTAGTCACTTGGGTGCCCGGGGGAGTGTGTGCGCCCTGCAGCTGGGGGCGGAGCCAACTGCCCATGGGGGCGGAGCCAACTGCCTATGGGGTGGGGCGAGCCAAGGCAGGGCGCGCGCTGCGTGGAGTCTCTCCCCGGCCTCCACCTCAGCTGTAGGGCGGCTGAGGCGGTTGGGCAAATGCAAGCCCCATGCTACTCAAAAAAGCAGCGCAGAGCTTGCAGACAGTCTGCCCAGGAAAGATGTGTGGCTCAGGCACACTGCAGGCCCCGCCTCACCTAGCTACACCTCTGGATTAGGCAGATTCATGGGGGAGAGGACTGAATAAATGAATTTTATTATTCTGGTCACAGACCAGTTCCGGCTCACTTATAATATCAGGAAAATCATAAAACACAACAGGAATATATTGAATTGCAATTGGGTATAACAGAGACAAGGGACGCGGGTGGCGCTGTGGTCTAAACCACAGAGCCTAGGGCTTGCCGATCAGAAGGTTGGCAGTTTGAATCCCCGCGACGGGGTGAACTCCCGTTGCTCTGTCCCAGCTCCTGCCAACCTAGCAGTTCGAAAGCACGCCAGTGCAAGTAGATAAATAGGTACAGCTCCGGCGGGAAGGTAAACGGCGTTTCTGTGCGCTGCTCTGGTTTGCCAGAAGCGGCTTAGTTATGCTGGCCACATGACCCGGAAGCTGTACACCGGCTCCCTCAGCCAATAAAGTGAGATGAGTGCTGCAACCCCCGAGTCGGCCACAACTGGACCTAATGGTCAGGGGTCACTTTACCTTTTTTATGAAGCATTTCTGTATCCTTCTGATGTGCTGAAGAAGAATTCCACGAAACAGTGGCTATATCCGGAATCACTGTTCACTACGTCTGTTTTTGGACCACTTTGGCAGCGTTGGACGTCATAAAACAAAGTTTTATGGCTTGTTTTCATCAGATAAGAATCTGACCCATTGCTTCTTTCAGAGACTTGCATAACCCACAAAGACTTTCAGAGACCTATAAGACTTATGTTTATTTGGTTCTATGTTTTCAAGAGCATCCATCAACAGTGCACATTTAGTGACTTTCAGAGGTTTATAAGATTCTGTTTATTTGGTTTCTCATATTGTTCTATGTCCCGTATAGACTATATAAAGAGTTTATGTTGATATTGCATTGTTGTTTGGTCATCGTGTTGCCTTGGATATTACTGATAATTGTTTGCAACACAGGGGTTTAATTGTTTGGTTACGCCTCTGGATTAGGCAGATTCATGGGGGAGAGGGCTGTCGGAGGCTACTAGCCATAAAGGCTGTGCTCTGCCTGCAAAGTTGGAGAGAGAAATGCTTCTGGTTTCTGGAAATCACTCAAGGGGAGAGTGTTTCTGAAGTCGCGTAAGAAGGGGTGTGCGATGGGTGCGGGAGTTATTTTTTCAGAAACACATATTTTTGGCATTTTGTCACCCCCCCCCTCAGTGATGACACCCGGGGCGACCAGTACCCACCGCACCCCCCTTCCTACGCCCCTGTGCCCACCACCCAGACACAACTTCTTGTTTTGCAGGCGGAGCTCTTGACGGTCGTCAACTCGCACCAGCTGAACGAGACAAATTCCAAGGCAAAAAGTAAGTCGTCGCCCGTTTCCCAAAGACTCTGGCATCCAGTTCAAATCTCAGGATTCCAAGCTGAGAGGCAACAAAGTTTGGAGGCAAAGGAGCATTTGCCCATGCTGCTGCAAATTGCAAATAATATATGAGCCATTTCCCAAGCTTGTTTTGGCTATTCATTTATCTGTTTCATAAAATGTATGCACCGCTTGATTGCGGGATTTGACATCTTTCTGCAGGGCCTGCAAGACAGAGCTGTTCCGCCTGGCCTTTGGTTTGGACTCGGTCTGACCCTTATGTTTTCCCGCCCCTTACGGTTTTGATCCATGAGCTACTTTTAAAATGAGGCTGCATTTTAAATTGCATTTTAACCTGTATTTTAAATTGGATTTTTTGTTCCCCCTCTCTTTTTTCCCCATTATGTTTTTACTGTGATTTTATTGGTGTTAGCCGCCCTAAGCCTGGCTCTGGCTGGGGAGGGCGGGGTATAAATAAAATTATTATTATTATTATTATTATTATTATTAAAAAAAACTACTACAACGCTGAAGAATTGATGCTTTTGAATTATGGTGCTGGAGGAGACTCTTGAGAGTCCCAGGGACTGCAAGAAGATCAAACGCATCCATTCTTAAGGAAATCAGCCCTGAGTGCTCACTGGAAGGACAGATCATGAAGCTGAGGCTCCAATACTTTGGCCACCTCATGAGAAGAGAAGACTCCCTGGAAAAGACCCTGATGTTGGGAAAGATTGAGGGCACAAGGAGAAGGGGACAACAGAGGACGAGATGGTGGGACAGTGTTCTCGAAGCTACAAACATGAGTCTGACCAAACTGCAGGAGACAGTGGAAGACAGAAGTGCCTGGCGTGCTCTGGTCCAGGGGGTCACGAAGAGTCAGACACGACTAAACGACTAAACAACAACTACAACCCTCAAGCCGTTAAAAAATAAAATAAATAAAAATCATTCCTAAGAAAAACTAACAATAAAAATTCCAGACTTTCGAAAAGCTGCAATAACAATAGACGAAAAACAGATTAGAACTCACATCACATTAAAACTCTAAGCACCTGGGTAGGCTTGACCAAACAAGAATGTTTTTAGTAGGCACTAGAAAGCGTACAGAAGAGACAACCGCCTGATACCAACAGGCAGAACTAGATATGTACAATTGTGACTGTGCACATACAAATCCTAAAGCATCCTCTTTGCAAGGGCTCAGCACTTTTGTGGTTGCAGGAGCAGAGCATGGCTGGCGAAAGGGAAACCCAGCTTAGGTCCCCAGGGGCAGGGAGAAAAATAATAGAATCTTACAGTTGAAAGGGGACCCTGAGGGTCATCTAGTCCAACCCCCTGCAATGCAGGAATCTCAGCTAAAGCATCCAGGACAGATGGCCATCCAACCTCTGCTTAAAAACCTCCGAGGAAGGAGAGTCCACCACCTCTCATGGGAATCTGTTCTACTGCTAAACAGCTCTTGCTATCAGAAAGCTCTTCCAAATGTTTAGTTGGAATCTCCTTTCTTGGTTTGAATCCTACTCTCCAGAACAGGAGAAAACAAAGCTTCTTCCCTCCTCCATGTGACAGCCCTTAAGATATTTGAAGATGGCTATCATATCTTCAGGGACACGGGTGGCACTGTGGTTAAACCATAGAGCCTGGGACGTGCCGATCAGAAGGTTGAATCCCCGCAACGGGGTGAGCTCCCGTTGCTCGGTCCCTGCTCCTGTCAACCTAGCAGTTCGAAAGCACGTCAAAATGCAAGTAGATAAATAGGTACCACTCCAGCGGGAAGGTAAATGGTGTTTCCGTGCGCTGCTCTGGTTCACCAGAAGCGGCTTAGTCATGCTGGCCACATGACCTGGAAGCTGTATGCCGGTTCCTTGGCCAATAAAGCAAGATGAGCGCCACAACCCCAGAGTCGGCCACGACTGGACCTAATGGTCAGGGGTCCCCTTTACCCTCCCCCTATCATATCTTCTCTCAGTCTCCTCTTTTCCAGGCTAAACATACCCAACTCCCTCAAATGTTCCTCATCAGGCTTGGTTTCCAGACCCTTGGTCATCTTGGTTGCCTTCCTGTGCACACCTTCCAGCTTGTCAACACCCTTCTTAAATTGTGATGTCCAGAACTGGATACAGGACTCCAGGTGGGGTCTGACCAAGGCAGAATACATTGGGACTAAGACTTCCCTTGACCTGGACACTATATCTCTGTTGATGCAGCCTAGAATAGCATCATCCTTTTTGCTGCTCCATCACCCTGTTGACTCACGTTAAGTTTGTGGTCCATCAAGATCATGGGTAGGCAAACTAAGGCCCGGGGGCCAGATCCGGCCCAATCACCTTCTCAATCCGGCCCGCAGACAGTCTGGTAATCAGCGTGTTTTTACATGAGTAGAATGTGTGCTTTTGTTTAAAATGCATCTCTGGGTTATTTGTGGGGCATAGGAATTTGTTCATATTTTTTTCCAAAATATAGTCCAGCCCCCCACAAGGTCTGAGGGGCAGTGGACCAGCCCCCTGGTGAAAAGGTTTGCTGACCCCTGATCAAGACCCTTTAGATCCTTTTCACATGCACTGCTAGTAAGCCTGCTGTCACCCATCCTATATTTGTGCATCTGGTTCTTCCTGCCTTACATTTGTCCCTATTGAAATTCATTTTGTTAACTTGCGCCCAGTTCGCCAATCTGTTAAGGTCATTTTGAATTCTGATTCTGGAGTTTCCTCCTCTTACGCTTCTTGCATCCTCCTCCTCTAGATCTGAGGTCAACCGGTGGCAACATCCCTAACGCATTGAGCGAAGATGATGGGACGATATCCAGCTGCAGCTTCATCATCCTGCCCCAGAGGAGGCTTCCCCGCATGCCCCCAGTGGACCTGCCGTCTCCAGACCAGATTTACTCAAACCTGAGCTTCCAAAACCAAGCCGAGGATGTGCTGTATGAATCCATGACGGCGTCGGAGGAAGCGACGGAGGAACCAAGCCCTGTGATGAAGGAGGAGGAGGAGGATGCTATTGGGCAAAAAGACCAAGCAACAGAAGCTGAGTATGCCTGTGTTCTGAAAGGGAAGAAGATGAAGGCCCCCCAGCACGCAGAGATGGAGGCGGGGGCCTCTGAAGCATCGCAGCAGGGATCTCTAGCAACGACACTTAACGCTGCTCAAGCAGCACAGGTATATATAATAATAATAATTAATAATAATAATTTATTAGGGACGCGGGTGGCGCTGTGGGTTAAACACAGAGCCTAGGACTTGCCGATCAGAAGGTTGGCGGTTCAAATCCCCGCGACGCTGTGAGCTCCCGTTGCTCGGTCCCTGCTCCTGCCAACCTAGCAGTTCGAAAGCACGTCAAAGTGCAAGTAGATAAATAGGTACCACTCTGGCGGGAAGGTAAACGGCGTTTCTGTGCGCTGCTCCGGTTTGCCAGAAGCAGCTTAGTCATGCTGGCCACATGACCCGGAAGCTGTACGCCGGCTCCCTCGGCCAATAAAGTAAGATGAGCGACCCCAGAGTCGGCCACGACTGGACCTAATGGTCAGGGGTCCCTTTACCTTTTACCCTGCCCATCTGGCTGAGTTTCCCCAGCCACTCTGGGCGGCTTCCAATCAAGTGCTTAAAATAATACAGCATTAAATATTAAAAACTTCCCTGAACAGGGCTGCCTTCAGATGTCTCTTAAAGAAAAGATAGCTTCTTATTTCCTTCACATCTGAAGGGAGGGCGTTCCACAAGGCGGGCGCCACTACCGAGAAGGCCCTCAGTCTGGTTCCCTGTAACCTCACTTCTCGCAAGGAGGGAACTGCCAGAAGGCCCTCGGAGCTGGACCTCAGTCTCCGGGCAGAACAATGGGGGTGGAGACGCTCCTTCAAGTAGACTGGACTGAGACCATTTAGGGCTTTCAAGGTCAGCACCAACACTTTGAATTGTGCTCGGAAACGTACTGGGAGCCAATGCAGATCTCTCAGGACCGGTGTTATGTGGTCCTGGCAGCCACTCCCAGTCACCAGTATAAGAGACCTCCCATTTCTCTGCAATTGAAGTAACCCCCCCCAATGGGGGGGTCATTGCTCTTAATTATACTGGGGTTCCACCCACCCCACTCACACAAGAAAACAAAGACCACCACAGCCAATCACAAACAGACAACCACACCCTTGGCCAACCCCAACCTCTCTCACCACCAAAGGAACACAAGTGAACAGCAGAGAACCTGCACAAGCGGCGCTGACACAAAACCCCACATATATTAAGCGAAATAGAAACATCACCACCCCCACCCATCTTCTGCCCCCCCCACCTCTTTTCCCTTATTCTTCCTAATGTCTCAACAAATGAAACTGATTTGTAAAAAAAAAAAAAGTTACATGGAAAAACATATGAGAGAGAGACATTGCATATACCCTTGTAAATCAAGAAAATCTCTAATAAAAATACATTTTAAAAAAACTTATACAGTGCTACCTCAGGTTAAGTATTTAATTCGTTCTGGAGGTCCATTCTTAACCTGAAACTGTTCTTAATCTAAAGCACCAGTTTAGCTAATGGGGCCTCCTGCTGCTGCCGTGCCGCTGGAGCACGATTTCTGTTCTCTTCCTGAAGCAAAGTTCTTAACCTGAGGTACTATTTCTGGGTTAGCGGAGTCTGTAACCTGAAGCGTATGTAACCCGAGGTACCACTGTACTGGGGTTGGAAGAGGGAAGTGCGAATCTGTCAGTTAATGGCTGGATCTACACTGATCTGTAAAATCGCTGTTAAAGGCTACAAAAAAACATAATAAAGCTCTCAATGCAATTTCCCTTTCTCAACATATCGCTGCTTTGCGGCGCCCTCCAGTGTCACATCTTTATAACACATTTTTAACGTTATAACCGACCAGTGTAGATTCGCCCCATGTCTCTTTTTCCAGTTTGCAATTTATTTATTTTTTAAATGAAAGTCCTTCTGAAAATCTGTCAGCATTTTTGTAATAATAATAATAATAATAATAATAATAATAATAATAATTTATCTATTGAATTCACCAGTGCACTGGGGTATCCCTTGTGCAGAATCGCAAGAGAAAAGCTGTCCTGCCTCGAGGGCTTTCATAGGATCAAAGGTGCACGAAACTGACCCCCAAAGCCATTTTATTGACGCTCCCCTAATGTCTGCTTCTCTCGTAGTTAGAAGAAATGTATTCAGTGGTGCGCAAGGAGAGAAAGAAGGAGAAGAAAAAGAAAACCGAGGGCTCTGGTGGGCACAGTGGAGAGAGACCATCCCAAGGGGAGATGAGCCTAGGAAATGCCCTGCTGGCATCTATCCACCAGGAATCAGATGGCAGGCCAGGGCACCCGCCCTCACTGTTCCAGCCTCCCGCTATTGAACCCTGCTATGAGTCTGTTGGCTGTGAATCGTGGGTAGGCAATGGCAGGAAGCCAAGCACAGAGCCAGCTTATGAGGCTGTAGATACTTACTGGAAGAATTCGAGGAGGAAAAGAAAGTCGGACAGGAACGCCCCAGCAGAAAACCTCTACGAAAGCATCGAAAACTTGGCATTTCAGTTTCAGAATCAAAACATGTTAGCCCATTTTGAAATCTGACTCTTTGGTTTGGTTTACCTATTCAAGCGGATGTAAATATATTAAGTGGACATAGTTCAAACGTTACTAAATGCCGCTGCATGTCGGAAACCATCAAACTGCGGTTGCATGTTAACTGGCAGATGCCCACGAAACGCTGATTGCTGCATACCAGACACTGACAAAGGGCACCTCTGGATGACATGTTTTATTGACCATTCCTCTTTATCTGCTTGCACAAAGCTTACACAGAGGTTAGACTATTTGTTGAGCATTTCTTCTCATTTGTTTGCGGGGAGCTCCTATGACAACCGGCATCAATTAATCTGGCAGAATGACAAAGACCAATAAAACAAGTTTAATAATATCATGTTTAGGGGAGGAGAATAAGGTGAGCCGTTAGCCTTAAGGACTGCCAGAGCTGAACATCAGTGCTGGGTGACATTTCACACTCGGAGAATCTTTGCAGATAATCACTTCACTCCACTAGGAACTTTATGAAGAGCATCAACATGTCTGGCTGCAACCCTGCATCTGCTTACTCGCGAGTAAGCTCTGAGAGCCTCAATGGAACTTCCCCTTCTGATCTGAGTTGTCATGGAAAGGGCTGATGGATTGATGAGAGCTGAGTCCAACATCCAGAGAGCTGCCATTTCCCTACTTATTGCTGCAAAGCATTTAAAGTTGTTGTTTTTCAGAAGGGGTGGGGGGTGGGAAATGAATAATTTGTTGTTGTTGTTAAGTCGTGTCTGACTCTTTGTGACCCCCTGGACCAGAGCACACCAGGCACTCCTGTCTTCCACTGCCTCCCGCAGTTTGGTCAGACTCATGCTGGTAGCTTCGAGAACACTGTCCCACCATCTCATCCTCCATTGTCCCCTTCTCCTTGTGCCCTCCATCTTTCCCAACATCAGGGTCTTTTCCAGGGAGTCTTCTCTTCTCATGAGGTGGCCAAAGTATTGGAGCCTCAGCTTCAGGATCTGTCCTTCCAGGGAGCACTCAGGGCTGATTTCCTTCAGAATGGATAGGTTTGATCTTCTTGCAGTCCATGGGACTCTCAAGAGTCTCCTCCAGCACCAGAATTCAAAAGCATCAGTTCTTCGGCGATCAGCCTTCTTTATGGTCCAGCTCTCACTTCCATACATCACTACTGGGAAAACCATAGCTTTAACTATACGGACCTTTGTTGGCAAGGTGATGTCTCTGCTTTTTAAGATGCTGTTTAGGTTACTACTAGTTATTACTAGTTGCTAATAGTTACTAGTTACAGTTACTACTACTGATCCATACATTTTCAGCAACACATTACCTGCATATTTGCAATTTTATATCCGTTTCTTGGGCTGTAGAACGGCATTGCAAAATTCGGAGGAGTGTGAATTTCTCAGGATGGGTGTGCTTCAGTTTGGACAGAGTCTTGGAGAGAGAAGGTTAAGCAGGTTCTCCTTTAAATGTGAACTACATCAAAATCCCCTCCCCTTACATATCCTAAAGGAGGAAATGAAGACATACCAGGATTCTCACTAGCCAGGCAATGGGAGAGGCGAGGTGCCAGATCATGTCAATATTAAGTGGGCAATTCCATAATTGCAATGAGGGTATCTGCTCATTGTCTGGGGCGAAGGAAGGAAGTATTTGGGAAAATACATATACAGTCATACCTCGTGTTAGGTTCATGTTGCATCTTTTCAGCTTGCAAACATGGCAAATCTGGAAGTGTATACTTCCGGGTTTCGCCGTGTGCGCATGTGCAGAAGCATTCTGCGCGCTTTGCACATGCGCAGAAGTGCTCTGTCACGCTCTGCACTTCTGCAGAAGTGTGGCTCTAGTTGTGGACTTTTTGGGGTGCGAATGGCACCCTGGAATGGATCGTGTCTGCAACTAGAGGTGCCACTGTATGTAGTTAGGTGGAGGGAGCCTCTGATTCTATCTTCCCCAGTCTGGTGCCCTCCAGATGTTTTGAACTATGACTCCCACCAGCCCCAGCCAGCACAGCTGGGCATCAGCTTGGAGAAGGCTGCTACAGTTTTAATGAGCGGCGAGGGTGGACTGAACCCCGTCAAAACTTTGAGAAACAAAGCTTCTGTAGCACTTCAAGCTAACCACCACCAGAGGGTGCTGTGGCATCGGAATCCTGAGAACACCTTTTGCTATCCTTGAGCTGTTCCTGTAATACTACTGTAACTCTAATAATAGCAATGATAATGCAATTATTAATTAGCATTTATATAAGTGGCCATTGAACTACTTCTTTTTAATTGAGTTTTTGTGCAAATACAAACAAATCTACAGAAAACAAAGAAGCAAAGCAAAGAACAGAAACAATAAGGGAAAAAAGAGGGGAAAAACCAGGAACAAAAATGAAGTGAAATTAACTATACAATGCTATCCCAAAACATCAGTTCTCAAACAAAGTACTTTCCCTTTTGGAATAGATCTCTTTTGTTATTCTATTTCTTTTCGACTTCCATCTATCTCACCACGATTCATTCTATCTATCTAATACAGTTTCCTCCTATATTTCAATTCATGTCCCCATCTTGTTATAAGCAAAAGTGAACATATCCTTATCAGAGAAGAATGGGAATTAAAGTTAAGGGAGTACTTGGAACTCGCAAAAATGACTGAATCTATAAGGAATAAACCAACTGATGTAGTCCAAAAGGAGTGGGAATGCTTTAACACTTATCTAATGAGACGAGGTTCAACAAGAAAATTTGGTTGTGCCTAGAATAAATCCGTAAATAGAAAAAAGTGGCCGTTGAACTTCATGTATGTATATTGTGTTCCTCAATCAGAAATCCCGTAAGGAAGCTGGCGCTACCCTGGCACCCTCCTGATGGGAGTTGTAGTTCAGCAACACCCGGAGGATGCCAGGGTGCTGAAAGGTGTGTTCGTGGAACACTTGGCACTCCACGTATTGCTGAACTACAACTCCCATATTCCTGGGCATGGGCCATGCCCGCGGGGCTATGGGAACTGTAGTTCAGTAACGTTTAGGTGGGCCCAAGGCTCCCCACACCTGCCGTAAAGTGTATGAGTTTTGCTGATGGGGGAGCAATGCTGAGAATAAGAACTTGCTTGGCATCACCTCCTACTGAGTTATAGCTGAATTGTCCAGAATCTCAGTTCTGTGTCCCTTAAACTCTATGCCCATCCTTCCAGCGTTTCATTGGCGGCTGTGATTTATTGGGGTGGGGTTAGGAGTGCGATGCCTTCAGCCGCAATGTTTGTTTTTAATAAGCCGTGTTTAAAATTCTGGGTGTTTGTTAAAATACGTACATTCCGTGTTTCTAGCGCTTCTGTGTCAAAGATGCTCAGTCAATAAATGACTACATAATCGCATGAGCACTGTTCCAGAGTATTTTTCATTCTCATGTGGTATATTATATCTATTTGAAAAAAGATTGGTTAATGAAGAAATTACATATCTTTCTACTTACGCGTGTTGAACTAATTGGCTGATGAAGAATTCAACGAAACAGTAGTTGTTATCCGGAAACACTGTTCACCAGAGTTCAGAGTTGGACATCAGAATTGGACATTTGCTGAATATACACAGCTTCACAGCTTGCTCTCCGCCGCGTAAAGTCTGGCACCGTAATTCATTTAAGTACTTCTTTCAGAGACTTCAGTTGGTTAGTTTTGATGTTTTGAATTATTCCATAAAGTTTTTCACATTGTAATTGTTTCTGGCCACCATGTTGCTTTTGATATTGCTGACTCACATTTTGCAACACAGGGGTTTTTTTGCTCAATAAATACACTCCTACAAGGGCCTGTTGCTCAGGCGGCTGCACTTAACCTGCAGGTACGTGAACAGTTGCATCGATTATCTCGCATCAAACTCTTTGGTTATGATGGCACACCTGCGAAGTTGCAAAATAGTATATAAAGAAAGAAGGTAGAAAAAACAGTGTTACTTTTGTCTCCATTCACTCTGTTTCAAAGGAAATGGAGAATGTCATTCTATTCTAATATTCTAACATCCTGGCGGCTGCCACCTTTTTAGTAAGCAGGGCTACTGTGTCTTTAACATGATAGACAGCAATTCATCACATGCAACTGTCCCAGAACCAGGAAAAAAACTTCACTGAATGAATTTCTGCTGGTTGTGCAACTGTTAAAGGCATTGTCACTGTTAAGTTGTGGGTGAACCATATCAGACGACACAGCGATTCTTCAAAGAGCTCTTGTTTATTCACAGGCCCAGAACAGAACTGAGCTGAAGGGTTCAGCCAACCTGCTTATATAGAGCTCAGCTACAAAGCAACAGTAACCACTTTCTGTAACTATCCAATCACTGAACGTCACTTTCAATTCCTTATTTGCATATGTGGCCTGGGTGAAAACTATCTACAGTATCCCCCTGCTGGCCCAGGGTGAGAACCTCAGTTCATAACAGTGACACTGCCAGGGAAAGAGTTGGCAGCCGTGGCCTGACAGTAGAAATAGCAGTATTTTTGATCTTTATATTTTCACATAGGTATATGGGGAAAAATAACAGTCCTGGTACAATAGACTGGATTCACACCTTTTCTACTAATGCTGAATGCAGCCCTAGAGCGATGACACCCTTGTAGCTGAACTAGGGCCACTGGCCAGCAAGAGGGGAAGTCCCAGCACACCTGGGGGGAAACCAAGAGATCTGCAGAAATAATTTTAAAAAATAAATAAAAATGAAAGGCTTTGCTCCCTTGCAGAGCAGCCTGTTAAGAAATGAGCAGGCTCAACAGCTGCAGGATATTTTGGGAATGAAAACCAGTGGGATGGAGATGGATGGATGGACAGATGGAAGTGGCCCGTGAGGGCAGGCAGGGTCCTGGAGGGCTTCAAAATGCCACCAAGCCGGCATTTAGACAGAGTGAGGAAACCACATTGGCTGGCAGATGCTGGAAGTGTGGCGACAGCAATAGTGGTGGCAGCCGCCTTGGCCAGTCCTCCTGAGTCTCGCCGGCCACTGTTGGAAGGCAGCAAAGAATGCATGTGCCATCTGCGCTGGCCTGCCTTGCCCTTGGGCGTGTTGAAGGATGCAGCCAGGTCACCTGTGATTGACACGCGGAGGGGAGGAGGGTCTGCAGCCAGCCAACAGCCAGGCAGGAGAGGATGGAGGATGTAGAAAGGTTAGCGAGAAACCTCTTGTTGCCTGGAGAGGTCATTTCCTGGTTCCCATGGAAAAGCTATTTTGAAACATCCACAGGGGCTCAACCTGTGGGTCCCCAGATGTTGTTGGACTACAACTCCCATGATCCCTGAGCTCTGGCCTTGCTAGCTAGGGGTGATGGGAGTTGTAGTTCATCTGGGGACCCACAGGTTGAGAAAGGCTGGATTAGAGGATCATCCTAGACCCTGAGGTTTTAGAGCCCAAATCTGAGACCTAGTGATGCCACAGGGGCAGGTCCTGGAGACAGAGGTTAATTGGGAGAGGGGCTTGGAGGAGGACAGATCCCCATCAGAGTGTTTATCTACAGCCAGCTCCTGCACACTTGCAAGCTGCATGAAGGCAGTGATGGCCACCGAGCTACAGGTCTAACAAAGATTGGGCAAATTAAAGGGCAAGAAGGTTATACTCTGGAAATCACAGGAGGGGAGAATTTCTCTTGCGCTTGGGTCCTGTTTACAGGTATCCCACAGGCACTCTGTCAACCACTGTGAGAACAGGACGCCAGACTCACTGGCGGAGGAAGAGAAGTGCGGGGGGAGCGCACCGCCCCGGCAGGGGAATCCCAGCAGGGTGCCATCGTGGCTGCCCCCCCCCGCTCACGCTGGGCGCCCCGCCCCCGCAGGTGGTGCGCCCCACCCCCCAGGACGCGTGCCAGCTCTGCCCCCACCTGCTCTCCACACACACACACACACACACCCGTGCCAGAGCATGAAGCTCCGCTACTGGCTGAACTAGATATAATAATAATAATAATAATAATAATAATAATAATAATAATAATATTTTATTTATATCCCACCCTCCCCAGCTGAAGCCGGGCTCAGAGCGGCTCACAACAATAAAAGTAACACAGCGCTCTAAAATCAATTCATTCTAAAATCAATTCAAAATCAAATTAATGGCAACCATTGGGCTAGAGTTCTGTGAGGATTACCGAAGGAGGGGGTCAGGCTGTGCCTTGGTCAAAGGCCAGGCAGAACAGCTCTGTCTTGCAGGCCCTGCGGAAAGATGTCAAGTCCTGCAGGGCCCTAGTCTCTTGTGACAGAGCGTTCCACCAGATCGGGGCCACAGCAGAAAAAGCCCTGGCTCTGGTTGAGGCCAGCCTAACCTCCCTGTGGCCCGGGACCTCCAAGATGTTTTTGTTTGAAGACCATAAGGTCCTCCGTGGGACATACCAGGAGAGGCGGTCCCATAGGTATCAGGGTCCTAGGCTGCATAGGGCTTTAAAGGTTAAAACCAGAACCTTAAACCTGATCCTGTACTCCACTGGGAGCCAGTGCAGCTGGTATAGCACCGGGTGAATGTGATCCCATGGCAAGGACCCCTAAGGAGTCTTGCCGCAGCATTCTGCACCCGCTGGAGTTTCTGGGTCAGTCTCAAGGGCAGCCCCACGTAGAGTGAGTTACAATAATCAAGTCTGGAGGTGACGGTTGCGTGGATCACAGTGGCTAGGTCAGGGCGAGAGAGGTAAGGAGCCAACTGCTTAGCTTGGCGCAGATGAAAAAATGCCGCCTTTGCTATAGCTGCCATCTGCGCCTCCATGGAAAGGGAGGTGTCGAAGGTGGCAAGTGGCCTGATCCAGTGGACTCCACTGCAGGAGAGGAGAATTCTGCTGTGGATTTACCATTGCAGGGTTTGCCAAACTTGGGTTTCTGGCTCTTTCTGCATCGCAGCTCTCATCATCCCTGACCACTGGTCCTGCTAGCTAGGGATGATGATGGGAGTTGTCGTTCAAAAACGGCCAGAGATCCAAGTTTGGCAAATCCTGCATCAGGACATCTAGTTGGCCATTTTGAGAACAGGGCATTGGACAGGATGGTCCATCAGCCTGACTGAGCAGCTAGGCTCTTCTTGCAGAGACTAGGTTGGCTGGGCACCCAGCAAGGAGAACCAACTTCTCTTTCATGCCCTCGTTGTAATCCACCGAGTCACCGCATGGATGGAAGTTGAGCAGGAGAAGTGCTAGCCGGGTGACTGGAACAAATTGGTCTTGTGCCGAACAACAACTGCGCTTGTGTGTCCCAGAGAGCTGCTGGAACGGAGTTTGAGTCAACCCTTCGTCTTGTGACTCTGAATAACATCTGACATCGGGCCCTGCAAAAGGTCAATGAGGAGGCCATCTCAAGCCCATCACTCGAGCCAGGATGAGGAAGGACCAAGAGGCATTGAGACAGGGAGTGGGGAGGGTAGGGTAGCCAAGAACATGGGCAAGGAGATTTTAGATATGTTTGGGAAATAGTGGGGAATGGGAGCCACCATCAACTGCCAACATGCAATAGCTTAAAGGATGGGATGGACACATGAAGCGGCTTTAGGAACATCTGCAGCTGCCTTAATCTGAGCCAGACCATTAGTCTATCAAGCCATATTGTCTACACCTACTATGCTGCCCTCGCGACTCCAAGGTTTCTGAGCTTTTCCCAGATCCACCTGGAGATGCTGGTGTGGCGATCACACAGGGTCCCTGGACGTTTAATGGTCTATTGATCCCTGTGCCACCACTGTGCTCGCTTCCCCGCTGCCACCAACCAGTTACTCTCTGGTAAAACACTGAGTCCAGTCAGTTGTTAAAAGTGAACCAAAAAAACAAGTTTATTTTACAAACACTGAAAAGTATATGGTTTCTCAGATAATATTCCTGTCAGTATCTTAACTTTAGTTTCTTTACTGGTCTATACCTTCCTAATACCTACTGACTGATTGTCTCAACTGTTTGACTGACTCCTCTTAACAAATTCTCTCCCTCTCTCACACCAGACTAGCCCAGTCCACAGACTTATCTTCCCTCTCTAGTCTGACTCCAGACTGTCTTCTCAACCACCCTAACGCTAACTCTTAAGGTAAAGGTAAAGGGACTCCTGACCATTAGGTCCAGTCGTGGCCGACTCTGGAGTTGCGGCGCTCATCTCGCTTTATTGGCCGAGGGAGCCAGCGTACAGCTTCTGGGTCATGTGGCCATCATGACTAAGCCGCTTCTGGCTAACCAGAGCAGCGCATGGAAACACCGTTTACCTTCCCACTGGAGCAGTACCTACCGTATTGATCTACTTGCACTTTGATGTGCTTTCGAACTGCTAGGTTGGCAGGAGCAGGGACCGAGCAACGGGAGCTCACCCCGTCGCGGGGATTCGAACCGCTGACCTTCTGATTGGCAAGTCCTAGGCTCTGTGGTTTAACCCA